ACGGGTTTTGTGTTCTGCTTCTTCTTATTCGAGTGCTGCACTAGCCGAAAAGACGTTGCAATGTTGCGGAACGTCAAAGGGACATCCGAGTGATGTAGTCACAAAATAGCAGCGACGCCCTCGCTCGTCCTCGCCGGCCGCCAGAGTCGTCCGTCAGCCGTCGTCAGAGTCGTCCGTCAGGGCCCAGTGCCAGGCCTCCAGAAGTGGTCTGCAGCCGTCCGCTGTCCGTGCCAGTCCGGCCAAGAGTGCTGATCATCCAGTCGGCCGCCAGGGTTTTTTCGCCCGGCAGTCCGTGCCAGAATTGTCCAGCTTTGCCGCCAGACTCTCACTCCAAGCTCCTTGCCAGAGTCGGCCACTGTCCCCAAGCTCTTTCTAGGACGTCCCGTCACTGGGTCCCCGCAGGGTCACCCCGCTGTCCCCGCCAGGGTCGCTTGGTCAGGGTCGCCGTCCCCGCCAAGGTCCTTACGCCGTCCTTGCCAGGGTCGTCCGCCGTCCCCGCCACGATCGCCCGCCGTCCCCGCCAGGGTCGTCCGCCGGCTGTTTTTGGCTTTTTTTGTTGCTGTCACTTTGCTGTCCTTGCCAAGTGCCCGCCAGAGTGTCCGCCGTCCCCGTTAGGGTTGCCCGCCGTCCCCGCCAGGGTCGTCCGTCTGCCAAACTGCTTTTGGCCTTTTCGTGCCTGTCAAAGTCATCGCCAAGTCTCCACCAGAGTTGTCCGCCGTTCTCGCAGGGTCACCCGCCGTCCCGTCCGCCATCCCCTCCAGAGTCCGCCAGAGTCGTCCGCCGTCCCCGCCAGGGTCGCCCGCCGTCCCCGCCAGGGTCGTCCGCCGTCCCCCTCCAGAGTCGTCTGCCGAGCTGTTTTTGGCCCTTTTGCTGTCACAGCAGAGTCCCGCCGTCCCTGCCAAAGTCGTCCGTCCACCAAGTCCCCGCCAGAGGACTCGCCATCCCCGCCAGGCTCGCTCGTCAAGCTCTTTCTACCAGGTCCCGTCCCCGCCAGGGTTCTCGCGCTGGGAGATAAGGCGCCATCCCCTCCACATTCGTCTGCCAAGCTGTTTTTGGCTTTTTCAGTCCCTGTCAGAGTCGCCAAGTCCCCGCGCCAGGGTCGCCCGCCGTCCCCGCCAGGGTCGTCCGCCGTCCCCCTCCAGAGTCGTCTGCCAAGCTGTTTTTGGCCCTTTTGCTGTCACAGCAGAGTCGTCCGCCGTCCCTGCCAAAGTCGTCCGTCCACCAAGTCCCCCCCAGAGGACTCGCCATCCCCGCCAGGGTCGCTCGTCAAGCTCTTTCCCCGCCAGGGGCTCGCCATCCCCGCCATGGTCGCTCGTCAAGCTCTTTCTACCAGGTCCCGTCCTCGGCAAGGTTCTGGTGCTGGGAGGTAAGGCGCCATCCCCTCCAGAGTCGTCTGCCCCGCCAGAGTCGTCCGCCGTCCCCGCCAGGGTCGCCCGCCGTCCCCGCCAGGGTCGTCCGCCGTCCCCCTCCAGAGTCGTCTGCCAAGCTGTTTTTGGCCCTTTTGCTGTCACAGTAGAGTCGTCCGCCGTCCCCGCCAGGGTTGCCCGCCGTCCCCGCCAGGGTCGCGCGCCGTCCCGCCAAAGTCGTCCGTCCACCAAGTCCCCGCCAGGGTCGTCAGCCGTCCCCGCCAGAGTCGCCCGCCATACCCGCCAGGGTCGCTCGTCAAGCTCTTTCTACCAGGTCCCGTCCCCGCCAGGGTTCTCGCGCTGGGAGATAAGGGTACCCAATTTTACTATTGTGCCCCATGGCTAGCAGTGCCAAATCAGGTCTGGTAGACTCGATCTGCTTGGCCAAGCAAGCAGATCTCGAAGCGGTAGCGTTCAGTGGTACCGGCCGCCGCCGGGCGCGGGCGGCCAATGGTCTAGGGCTTTAGGGATTTAGGGTCTATAAGGGTTTAAGGATTTACGGTTTAGGAGTTTGGGGGTTTCAGGGGATCTAGGGACTATAGGGGTTCAAGGATTTAGGGTTTAGGGCTTTAGGGATTTAGGGTCTATAGGGGTTTAGGAGTTTGGGGGTTTCATGGTTTTTGGGATTCAGGGTCTATAGGGGTTCAGGGCTTTAGGGATTCGGCGTCTAGGGCTTTAGGGATTTAAGGTCTATAAGGGTTTAAGGATTTAGGGTTTAGGGGTTTAGGAGTTCAGGGGATCTATATGGGTTTATAGGGGTTTATATAGGGATTCAGGAGTTTGGGGTTTAGGGCTTTAGGGTTTTAGGGTCTATAGGGGTTTAGGGCTCTGAGGATTTAGGGTATCGGGCTTTAGGAATTTAGGGTTTAAGGATTTAGGGTTTAGGAGTTTGGGGGTTCAGGGGATTTATATTATATGGGTTTAGGGATTTATGGAGGGATTTAGGAGTTTGGGGTTCAGGGCTTTAGGGATTCGGGGTACAGGGCTTTAGGGATTCGGGGTATGGGGCTGTAGGGATTAAGGGTTTAGGATTTAGGGTTTAGGAGTTTGGGGGTTCAGGGGATCTATATGGGTGAAGGGATTCTTATAGGGATTTAGGAGTTTGGGGGTTTCATGGTTTTAGGGATTCAGGGTCTATAGGGGTCCAGGGCTGTAGGGATGTATATAGGGATTTGGGGTTTAGGGGCGTAGGGGTTTAAGGCTTTAGGGATTGAAGGTTTAGGGTTTAGGGTTCCATGGTAGAGTGCAGGGTTTAGTTACCGGAGGAGTCAGGACGGGTTCTTGAGGGGTTCGGGATCCTATACAGTTTCAGGATCCGGTTTGAGGGTTGGGGATTTTCAGTTTTCGATCTAAACTTGCCTGTCTGAGGGCTGGGTCCGGGTTTGGGGTTTCGGGTTTAGGGCTTAGGGTTTAGGGGTTTAGGGTTTAGAGACGTTTCCGGCTGAAGGTGTGATGTCTTGGGCTTTGGGGTTTGGGGTTTAGCATAGCGTGGCCATTCTGGGATTCAACTTCCTGTTTTCGAACACTGGCGCTCAGGAACCCCTGAACCCTAAACCCTAGCCGCAAACCCCCGATGGAACCCTAAAGCCCTGAAACCCTAAACCCAGAACCCTAAAGTCGGAAACCCTCAAACCCTAAACCCCCAAACCCCAAACCCCTAAACTCTGAAACCCTCAACTCAGAACCCTACAGCCTGAAACCCTCAAACCCCAAACCCCAAAACGTGCACTGAAACCCTACAGGGAACTCCAGAAAGTTGGAATATGGATTAATGGTAGGATCCCCTATAATTTACCTTAAAGGGGTTAGGATAATGATATTCCAACTTTCTGGCTTCTACTGTAAACCCAAAAAAATTCCCGAAGTCTCTAGAGATCCGAGGCTCGAGCTGGTCGAGGCAGAGTTGCAGCGGGACGAGGAGGTGTGGCTCTTCATAGGGGTAGCTATACCTAGTCTAGGACCCAGGGTAGGCCCTTATTCCCTTTTTTGAGGCTTAGGTTCCCTTATAAACCCCTTTAAACCAAAAAGGGCACTCTTTTTATTCCTAGGTTACTCTTAGGTCTAGTAGTAGTAGAGTAGGTAACCTTGACCTTTTTCGGGTAGTACAGTCCCTAGAACCCTCATCATAGTTGGCATAGTTGGGTAACATTTTTTATTTTATGGATACTTAAACCCAAGAAGGAATAGAAATGTACATTTTTAATCCTATCCCAACCATGAACTAGTAATAAGGGTGTTTAGGGTTTCGGGTTTAGGGGCTTGAGTGCTACGGGAAGGGGACCATAGACGTCTCTATTAAGATTCCATAAGGGTAGCAAGAGGTTTTGATTAGCAGGGTCCTTGTGGTCATACACCTGGGCAGTTGTAAAAATTATGGGCCCTTTTTTGGTACCCTAATTTTCGGTGCCGTAATATAATAAGGACCCAAAGAGGGGCCCTAATTTTGACAACCACCCACATGGTTCAGTTACAAGGCAAGTAAAGCAAGCATGTATGCTAATCATCAAGTAAACAGGCCTGCAGTCAGGCAAGGCAAGAAAGCACATACACAAAAGCAGCAAGCAAGTAGATCAAGAGAGTGAGTAAGACGGCACGTTGTTAGGGATGACCGCAAGCCAGCGTGTAAAATCAATCCGCCTGCATACAGATACGGCTGATGCCCTAAATCCTGCATGACTTTGAACCTCCCCACGGTTCCAGTGCTAACCCCAATGTGAACATTGCCCTGACGCACGGGCTTGAGAAGGGGCCGGCGCGAATGCCCTATCTTCCATGGCCCCGCGGGGATGCAACATTGAAATTAAGGGGTTGCGGGGAAGCGGGATGACATGGAATATGTAGGATGCTGTAGGTCATGCAGGATTTTGGGCATCAGCCGTACATACTTTTGTTCGCACATTCATTGCAACCGTCGTTCTGCCGGTTCTTCTCCCAAGTCTGTGAGGCCGAAGAGCGAGCCCGACTTCTTGTCGCTGCAGTGAGTGCTGCAGAGTCGGTCGCAGCTCCCGCAGCGCCAGCTGGCGGGGAGGCACATGGAAGTGACAAGACTTGCTTAGGGACCTTATTGGGCTTCATTATAAGGGGATTTATATGGGATATCCCTACCCTAATTTTTGCTTATGTGCTTTTTTTGGGCCCTACTTGCGGGACCTTCTGGACAAGGGTGTAGGCTCTGGCTCTGGTGTTTAGCCTTCATGCATGGATTACGGGGGATCCGTTAAATTGTGAGTCTTTGTGTATTGTCCCTATATATCATCCCTATCTAACCAAAAAGGTTAACCTTTAGTTCCCCATGATACCCGACAAGTAGGATACCAATTATCACATACCCTCTTAGTCCCTGTACCGCCAAAATCTGGTTTCAGTTGCTATAAGGCTCATATACTGAGCTGAACACTTAAAATGATGTGGTGTTGTTTTACAGACCCCTCGCGATCGAATCCCTGAAGGAACCCTACGCCCTACGCTAATCATTAAGGCCTCTACCTTAACCCTACTTTTTTGTAGGGTCCCTATAACCCCCATATTAGGGTTTATAATAAAAACCTGCAAAAAAGCAGAGTCTGAGTTAGACAAACTTTGGAGGACGGCGCCATGGCGGCTCTGACGAATCTCGGTCGGCTCAGGGTGTGCACGCCCAAGGGGCCTTACAAGGATTATTATTATAAGGGCGAAAATCCAAGAAGGAGTATACGATCATCAGGGTTATGAGATGTTATGAGTATGAGGGCTACTAAGCTACTAGAAGGGTTTAGAGTTTGGCGCCTATAGCTTTTTGCTTCTTTTTGTTGCCTTGTTCTCTCAGAATCCAATTCCCTGTCTATCGGGGTTAGAATTTTGGGTTAAACTAGATACGGCTTAGTATGTTGAAGGCTTGGTGTGGTCCGGGCTTCGTGGTTTGTAGGGGTTAGGACGGTTAGGAGTTATAGTGGTCGAAACTGCTCGTGTTCAGGAACTGGTTTATCGGGGTATGGATTAGAAACCGCAACAACTTGATGCAGACGGCCCAGCAGCCACACCCTCCCCAAACTTGCTGTCTTCATCGTGGCAGGAGTCCTGGCCTGCCAAACTTAGTCCCGAAAAGACAGCCGCTTTGCGAAAGCGCTTTGAAGAGGACTATCCTGCCGAGCTCTTGGACTCTGAGTCCTTCCCTAGCGCAAGGCTTCTGGCACCTACCAGCAAGATGGTAGCGCACCAGGAAATCCGCTTGCTGCCATGGAAGTTCCGCCTCAGCAGCAAGTGTCAGGAAGACAGCTTGATGATGCGACCACGCAAACAAGCTCGCTTTTCTGAGCTCAGTGAACTGCTTCTTAATGAGGCGCCAGCGCGAGACACGAAGGGCCAGTTTCCTACGGTTTGGTCAGCCAACTTCTTTCTCTTGCAGCAAACTCAATTGCACTTTGTCAGGGAGCCCACTCGGGGTCGTTCAAGCTGTACAACAAGCGCTTTACGCGCCTCTGCTTTGCCAAGTATGATTCAGCTTCCAACAACCACTATGGAAGCACAATCAGCTGACAAGAGGTGCTGGGAGTTGATAGCTGACCTGGTCAACCAACACATCTGGACGTTAGACGACGCTTTACATGAACTGTCTGAGGTCCGATCAGACATGAGTAGTCTCCTTGCTCCGCGGCCCTTTGTCCCCAAACCAAAGGGGGACATCAACGACGGATGGAAAGCCCGCTTTCCTGGTTCAGGCCGCGGTAACAAGGGCAAAGGCCGGGGCGGCAAACCCTAAGTGGCAGTATCTTTGTTTCAAGTTTCAAATGTCCCAAGAAGGGAGCCCTGGTTTAATTTAAGAAGCATGCAAACCCTCCGGCCACCAAATTGGAACTCCCCTGGCCAGTGTTCGTGTAGGACGCAGAGTGTGTTGAGCAGGGTTTGAGAATTCCGTCGATGGACAGATCAACTTTGAATGCTTGGGCTCCAGGGTTGTCCTTCACTTGCCTGACAAGCCGTTCACGGAACCCCAGAGCCTAAACCACCCGAGACAAGGAAGCTTCAAAATCGCAAGAAGAAGACGCCGGACGCGCCTGCGACGGGGCTCTCAGTATCCTTCAGTTTTATGTTGCAATTGCCGGCTGCAGGTTTTATGAACGACAGCGCTCTTTGGTTATGATGCTGTTGCGTATGGCTTGCTTGTGGGATCTTTGGCAATGTGTGGGTCCAAACAGCGAAGTGGCTTAGTGCTTTCAGGATATTTTGGAATTACTTCTTTGACACCTAAACTGCAGGTGCCAAAACTCCTCAGTTCGGTGGATGATTTAGGACATGTTGATGAGGTGTTCCAAGGTTATAAAGGGAACTCCAGAAAGTTGGAATATGGATTAATGGTAGGACCCCCTATAATTTGCCTTAAAGGGGTTACGATAATGATATTCCAACTTTCTAGCTTCTACTGTATATGGTAGGTCCGTGAATCGTACCGACTACCCTACTGTGGGTTTAGGGCTCGTTTACTGCAAGTCTACAACTGTAAATACGTGCCAAATATGTTCTTCTATACGTTGGGGGCCCAATCCTGTGGGTACTGTTAGTATAAAGCCCCTTGTACCACGGTTGATGATATAAACCCTGCATTACCCATATAATTGCAATATACCATAGATCAATTAGTTTAGCGTCCTGAAGGTACGGCAGGCTCTATATCATCAACAGTATGTGAGGCCCGAGCCGGCGCCCGTGGAGGCTGAGTCGCCGCCGCCTGCGGATGTGAAGGCAACAGGGATTTCGGGGGGTTGGGGTTTTAGGGTTTCAGGGTTTAGGGTTAGGGTCCCGGGTTTAGGGTTTTGGGGTTTCCAGGAGACGCCGCCTCACCGTGATTCGAAAGTTTAGGGCCCCAGCTACCTAAAGAGTAGGTTGGATTTTTTTGAGGGCAGACTGAACATGACATGGTGCACACTCGCAAGCAGCGAAAGGCAGGGTACAAGCAGGTTGGGTTGGGGTTTCAGCAACCAAGTTTTGTTGGTAGCTGGGGCCTTGGGGAAAGTCACGGGCTTTCGGGGATTTTAAGTGCACCTCTTCGCTTGATTCTCGAAGCTTGTGACAAGACATCCCGACATTTTCCCCTCTACATCCTCGAATGTAGGCCCAGGGCGCAATTCGGATTTGGGAAAACTTTGAACCTTAAACAGGAGTCCAATCAATGCATACTGAGACCTGCCACGAATCCAAAATGCTCACGACAGTCTGACCGGAGCACGATTAGCACCCCAGATGCACGGAACTGGTGCGGAAGCAGAAAGCCCGAAAACCTAAACCCTAAAAAGCCCTCAGCGGGAGCTACATGCCTGCCGGGAGCGCCAGCATGCGCCAGGCATGAAACCCAGTTACCTTGCACACCCAAAGGGTCCAAGTACTTGTGTAGTATATACTTTGGGGGCCCACGTACCTAGTATGTACTTACTATAAGGGTAAGCTTATAAGGGTACTTGGACCCGTTGAGACGAAAGGATCCCCGTAGTTCGCAGACGTATGCACTTCCTGAACCTTTACAGCATCGAAAATCAGGCCGAACCTGCATAAGTCGCCGTTCAAGAATTCAAGAAATCTGCACGGTGCCCTGAAACGCTTTCAAAACTCTTGGATAAAACAGCAAACGGGACCCCTGTGAAATTGAACTAGCGAGAGGTTGGCCGCACCATTGCCAAGAGGAGCACCGAATTGGAGTCCTACCAAGAGGTCCGACCTTTGGGGTTTAGCGTGTATGGTTTTCGGGTTTAGGGTTTAGGGTGAAGTGCCGCTGTGTTGCTCCGAGACTTGGAATAGCTTTCCTCAGCGTGGCTACAGGAACCAGGACCCTGTAAAGCGTATTGTCTTAGGGTTCCTTACTATGAGTTCCTTACAATATGAGCCATTAAACAGGTAGGTTATTGTAGCCCCATTAACCTTAAACGTTACTCAACTTTGTTCAAAACTCAGAGCATGCCGGGCGATATCGGAACTCTGCGGTCCGAGCACCCTCGGACGCAGGGTCCGGCTGACGATTAGGGCTCGCTTTGGGTTTACCTATAGAGTGGGAAGGGACTTTGCAAAAGGCAAAGGTAATATTTTTAGGTTCCTAATTGTGCACTGGGGCTCAGTTTTTATTTGGGGTTAAGGATTCAGGGCCTGCAGTTGTTCAGCGTTTATGCTTGACTGTCAAGAGCTTCGGGTAAAGGGTTTGGGCGTGTATATCTAAATATATATATATATATATATATATATATATACATATATATATATATATATATACACATACAAACACCCCTACATACAACTACATACATGCCTGACATATATCTACATATATGTAATACTGATACAAACTCACTCACTCACTCACTCACTCACACACACACACACACCCAGGTTGGCAGAGAGATAGACAGATACATGGACAGATACAGATATCTCAGGACGGTTTCCACCATCCAAGTGCAAACCAAAAACGGTACTTTTTCATGTCTCCGGATCACCTGGAATTTAGTGCTGATGTAACTTTGAGCTTTCGAAGTGGGTTGCAGGAAGCATCCCTCCAGACAAACTCGAGTCGCAAGATGACCCGGTGATTGGAACCTCTCATGTTGCTAAATCTTAAATACTGAGCCCTGCATCTTGCTTTATGGTGGCAGGCCCTCCGTTTGCTGCACCAGGGTTCGCAGCAAGAGGCACTGTCGCTGAATTTGAAGCCTAGTTCCGTAGAGTTCATAGATTTGGCCTAAACCGTTGGCACTATAAACCCTACGTCCTCAAGCCTCGGATTTAGCAGCAGGCTTTTGGAATCATTGTGGAAGGCTTCCCTAAAGCCCGAAACAGTTCGGCTCTGGAATGAGCCAGGGGATGTGCTCGTAAGTCCACGCGAAGATTCTGTGGTTGCGGCTTTGGGATGTATTCCGGAATTTTGAATTCCAACGCTTCCCAACCCTAACGTTTTAAAGCCCTCGAAACCCGATCCCCTTCCTGAGTGGAGCTGCGGTATTCTCAGCCTTGAGCCCCACTTCCCCCGAAGCCGCAAAAAACCTACCCTTTCAGAGTTCCTGCTTATGGTTTCTTTGTTTAGGTCCGTAACAATCTTAGGGGAGAAGTTTTCGCATGTTATTCGTGAGCTGAGGGTTCTGGTACGTGTGTAAAAACTGTACTATGATACAGCCTCGAAGCCCCATTCCAAATATTCAGGCCCCTATAGTATCGTTTGTGTTTGTTTTCGACACATCATTATTACTACTACTGCTTGTGTTGTAGTCATTTTGATTATAATTATGATTTTTATTGTCATTATTGGTGCTGTTACTGGTACTGTTTTTGCTACCACGACAGATATTACTATGATAGTTAATAAGATTCATCTGAGGTCTTTCAAGAGACTGGAGGGACTTGAGGGAGTGGCCTTGTCAGGACCCGAGAATGTTTAAGTTTGGGATCCGTTCGTCCTCGATGTGGGCTTGAGGTTTTCGACATCGCTTTTGGTTTCTGTCTTAGCCGACAGGTAGTGATTCATGTGAGGCCTCGTGAAAACCTTATGTCATTGCAAACCTTCTTCCCCCAATAGGATTGGTGAGAAACTTGCAGAGTCTTTACTGGGGCCTTGCATTTTTTGGATTCAGGGTTTGGGTTTAGGGTTTAGGGCTCGTATGGAAGCCTTGCTTGCAATGCATGGTGCCGCGGCGCCGCGTAGCCGAACTGAACGCTAAACTTAGCCGCGTTCGACACGGCATAGAAGATGTGCTCTCCAGGAAGGTGTGACAAGAAGCCGCTGCGGGTTCAGGGTTTAGGGCGAAGTTGTGGTCTTCGTAGATTGCAGGCCCCAAATCCCAGGCAGACTGCGTCCTGAACTTTCACCCTCAACCTCTCACAGCGCTGGTAGGTCGATGAACTGCACAAGAAAATCGCCGAGCTCGATCGCGATTCCAACAAGGTGCTGGAATCGCAGGTCTTAGGAAATGGATCGAGTTTTATGGCCTATAGGGCATAGTTGGGATCTTTTATATGTCTCCGAATTGGGCTTGAAAGGATTTTGTTTGCGAGCAGTGCTCAGCGGCGTTAAACGGCCAACCTAATTGGGTGTAACGGGCTTGGGGTCAACGGTGAATGGTTGAGCGTGACGGATGCAGTGTCTCGGGTTATCAGAGACCAACCCTGTCTGACCCTACCCTGAACCCTAAACCCAAAACCACTAAACCCTAATCTCCTAAACCCCTAAACCCCGAAACTCGTAAACCCTAAACCCCTAAACCCCCTAAACCCCTAAGCCCTAAACCCCTAAACCCTTAAACCCTAATCTCCTAAACTCTAAACCCTAATCCCCTAAACCCCCAAAACCCTAAACCCTAAACCCCTAAACCCCTAAACCCTAATCCCCTAAACCCTAAACCCCTAAACTCCTGCACCCCTGAAGCCCTAATCCCTAAATCCTGAGCCCTACACCTCGAACCCTAGATCCGAATTGCTTGTCCTCATGAGGCTCTGAGAATGCTCTATCATGATCTGAAGAGAATTCTTAGTAGTCGTCGCAGTCGTCGTCGTAGTAGAGGTAGTAGTAGTAGTAGTAGTAGTAGTAGTAGTAGTAGTAGTAGTAGTAGTAGTAGTAGTAGTAGTAGTAGTAGTAGTAGTAGTAGTAGTAGTAGTAGTAGTAGTAGTAGTAGTAGTAGTAGTAGTGAGAGTTAACTTTAAGTTTCTTTGAGGTACTATAATCCGTATATAGTTCCAAAGGGTAGTAGAACATTGGACAAGTAGGTAATTCGTACAGGGGATGCACTGGGCCTTTGAGCCTAAACGCCCCCTCGACCCGAAACCTAAAGTTCCAACAGCCTGGGGTGGTTGGGGTGTTAGGTTTTAGAGTTCCGGGTTTTGTGTTTCGGGTTTGGGGTTTCGCGCGTCAGTAACAGCACTAAAGACCCAACATAGTCTCCGTAGGAACTTTTTAATTTTTGTTCATATAAAACCCAAACGATGTTATGTTTATTTTGTTGCTAATGGGGGTAGAGTGTTCGACCGTTCGACCCTGCATAAACCCCAAACATCCAACCTGAAACTCTGAACCCCGGAGCCGATCCCCAAATACTCAAGCCCTGAAGCCTAGGGCTCAGACCTTAAGCTCCTAAACGCTCACCCCCAAACCCTTACTGTAAGTGTAGAAGATCCTCAGCCGTAAAATTGATACTTGTTATGTCAGCACTTGTGGCGGGCTTGCTTGACCCTGAACCCTCCATCTTTGTGGGAGCAAGTTCCGTGATTAGGGCTTTTCGGTACAGCACGATAAGCCTACTGATTTGCGTCAGAGCCTGCATCTGCACAGAGTCAAGAACGGCCGAAGAAGATACCCTTACCCCTACACCCTAAACCCTCAAACCCGCAAGCCTACACACAGAACCCTAAAGACTCTATAAACCCCAACCCGTTCTTTGACACATACAGGTTCCGAAGCTCAAGCAGGATCAGAAGGCACTGACGAACAGGCACAGAAGCCGGGTTGCACGGTTTGATCGGCTCATTACGTCATGAAAAAGCATGCTTTGTGGGCTCCTTACTGACAGGAGATCACAGGGTTTCATAGGCTCCTGACGTGAGAAATTTGATGCATGGGGTTTACCAGGCTCCGGACTTCAGGAATTTAGGTCTGTTTAAGGCTCCTCACTCCGGAAACGAAGCGAGTTTGCCGGCTGCTTAGTTACGGAGCTGGGGCTAGGAGAACCCTAAACCCTGAACCCGAGGGTTCAGGACGTTTTGAGAGTTTGCCGGTCTCCTCAGCTTCAATTAACACTCGGGATGAACGGAGAGCAGGGCCCTAATTGATAGGGAGGGTTCAGGACGGTTCTTTAAGGGTTGCATAAGTTTATAGGGGTTTAGTCGTTTAGGGTTTTGGGGTATATAGGGTTTAGGGTCCAAGGGCCTGGGAAGGTCCAAGCATTCAAGTACCCCCGGGCCATGACAACGCCAAAAAGCCGCAGTGGGCGGAAAGCCAATGCCCATCATGCCTGAGAAGGCGCTCCAGCTCAGACAGGAATGTTGCGCGTGAACCTAGGGTTTGGTGTCAGGTCAAATTTTTGTATAGTATACATATACATATACATATACATATACATATATATATATATATACATATATATATATATATGTATGTAATACTCGCGAACCCCTTGATCCATAAGCCCCAAGCTCTTAACCCCAGAACTTATAAACCGAATGTTCAAACCCGAGACCCACAATGCCGTAAAAGCCGCTCCGAAAGTTGAACACTGTTGAACTGAAGAACGGAAGGCGGCCAACCTCGAAAACCCCTGAACCGTAAAAATCGAAACCCACAACCTCCGACGACAAAGCCTGATAAATTAAAAGCCATTATTAGCTACATCCTAAACAGCATGCCTGAAGGCAGAACCTACTCCAAGAACGCATGGCCGACTTGGAAACCGAGGCGACCCTCGCAGAAGGGGTTGAGGCTTTAGGTTGGGGTACTGGTGCGTAGGGTAGGGGCGATGGTGTTTATGTCTGGCGCCCACTTTGCGTCCAATTGTTGGACAAAGTATGTTTGTATTCTGGGTTCAGGGTTTTGGACTAAGTTTGCTTGTATTCTGGGTTCAGGACACTTCTGGCTTCCGTGTTGGTAGGTTTAGGATTCGGAGGGTTCAGGGCTTCGTGGTTCAGCTCACTGGCTTGGCCAAGTTCTAGGTTACAGGAGTGTCAAGCGGCCCCATGGCAGTTTTCAATGGCATGCACAGTTCCAGTCTATCTTGAAGTGCATCGGAACACGAAAAGGCCAATGATATGGGACTTTAACTGCAGAAAGCCACTGTTTGGGGAAACTCAGAACGGCGACCCTGCTTGCAACAGCGCCATGTGAACCCCTAGGGACATTGGATGAGTGTGGGATGACGCGGGATACGAGCAGGCGAGCAGCTCCCCCACCTTCCACCTTCCAATGTAGGGTGCTTCATGGGGTCGTCGCACCAGTATCAAGTCCTCAGAAAAGACCAAGCCCCCTTCCTGGATAGGAGAGCCGCGGCAAAGGCCTAGGAGCTATTTGTGGAACCTAGACTCCCAGGACGTGCATTCCTGCATTGCAAACCTGAGAGACTCTTAACATGGACGTCTAAGCATAACCCCTTGACCCGAATCATCATGTCGTCCCAGACTGTTACGACCTCCAACTTTTCCGGCAAAGGCTTCCGAGCTGGCACAGACTGCGCAGGCACCTTCCACAAGTGCACGCCCACAGCAGCACATGTAACTTCTTGTATAGTCGCAGTAGTGTACGACTTTTAGCCCCTAAATCCCGAAACCCTAAACCGCTAACCTTGGAGCCATATGCCCGTGTCCAACGTCCTAGATCCTCAAGGTGAAGCCAGCTAAGGCCCCACAGGTCACAGAAGCTAGGGATCAAAGGTTCTGTAAGGGAGGATGCATGTGTGAGATGTCGATGTCCACTATCCATTATCGTACGTAACCGGGTATTATACGATATAGTTGTAAAATACTTGTATGTCGTCACGGTGAAATTACCGTAATTATTAGAGCATACGACGGCACATCATACTATCTCAAAACTAGCTTCGAGTCCGGAGACACCTGCATTGCGTGCCCCAGTAGCCCCCTTCTGCACACGCCAGCGCTTGGAAGGCATGGAAACCGTTATCAAGGCAGTTTAGGTTTAGGGCTTCATAATTTCTACTAGTTCAGGAATTCCGTATTGATAACTTTTACTATTTCAGGAATTCCGTATTATGCGTCTAGTATTCTAATATACCCCGAAACCTTACTCTAACACTTAAACTCAAACGGCCACTCCCCACCCGAGCCAACCCACCACAACTTCTGCGCGGAGCCGTTGCTGCAACCAGACCAAGACGAACTTGAGCCTCCATATCATGACCTTCCCCCACTGCGGGCATACAGAGACTACGAGATTGTCTACAAGCCCTGTAAAGCCTGCGCACGGTGCGCCGCGAAGCCCATGCCAAAACCAAAGGGCACAGCAGCTCCATAGCTTCTTGCAGCCAGGGAGGCCTCCACGCGAGCTTCTCTGGGCAGAAACTCCTTCGTGTCGCTTTCAGGGACTGAAGAGCTGCTGAAAGACTTGGCGGGCCAGCTAGTGCACCCGGTGTCTCGGAGAACTCTGAAGCGAAGTCGCGAAGAGGAAGCAAACCAGCGTGGCACTCTTCGGACCATGGACATAGTCGTGGATGAGCAGGAACATCGGGTGCAGTTCCTCGACCCGAAGGCCTTCCTGCAAGCTGCTGTCAAATACGTAACTACTGTACCTACCTACCTATACCCACCTGCCTGCTTACCAACCTATACCTACCTCCTACCTTCCCACATGCCCACCTACCCACATACGTATGTTCATGTTCGGCGACTGCGGCATGCTTCAGCGACTAGTTACCGTACATTATGCGCATTAGACAGGCTTCAACCTATTGATACCACTTCCCATCCACGGACCTTGACCCCAGCATGGATCACAAGGCACCACCCTAAGACTCAAACCCCTACAAAGCTCTAGGTTTTGAGGTTTCGGGGGTTGGATTCGGCTTTCGGTTGAGGGGTTTGGGGCTTTAGCTTCCAGAGTTTAAGGGTTCTGGGTTGAATGTGGCTTTTGGCTGGAGGGTTAAGGGTTTGATGCAGGCCGTGAACGAGCTACTGGAGATCCGCCAAGAGCTCAGGGTGTTCAGTTTTGGAACAGGCCCGAGCAAGTAGCAATTATTTCATATATCCATATATCCATACATACATACATACATACATACATATATTTATATATGTATATATGCATGCAGGCATTGGTACAGAAGTTTACTAACACATATATGCATACATACACATATCTATATATATATATATATATATATATATATATATATTGAGTCCATGTAGTTATGCTGCACTAAAATTTCCAAACCTTGTCCTGATTCTTCAGATCGCTGCACTAACTTCTCCAGAACCTCAAAAAGGCACCATGAGGTGAGGGCTCCGACACATCATTGATGCGGAGGGCTTTAGGGTTTAACAAGAGATGCCAACATAGTTCAATGTGTGTCTTAGCAGTTTACGGGATTATTAAGATTGCTACATTAATTTTCTTGGTGTCTTGGCGTTCACATTTTTCTGGACCAAGAGAGCCGTGTGGCCCCGAAGCCAAGAGCTTTAAGCCCTGAACTCTTTATTTAGCGTTTAGGGTATCAGACAGTAAACCATGGAATGTACTGTGAGGCCCGCAGCCCGAGAGCTTAGAGCCTCAAAGCTCAAACCCTACCTATAGTCTCCATTGTAGTTCCTCTTTGGGGTTACCTTTTAGGATCCTTAATATAACTTTGGTTAAACCTAAAAAAGGAACTACAGAGACTATAGGTAAACCCTGAACGCAAAAATGAAGCACCAGGCAACAGTGTCGTGCAGGAGCTGCGGCAGGAGACGGGCATGGCAGGGGTGTTGGATATAGGGTTTTAGGGTTTCAGGGTGGCGCTTAGACGCTGAAACGATGCTGTAGTAGAGGCACTTATAAAGCTTAGTCGCATGATCCGGGGACGCAGCAGGTACATCAAGTGTGTAAGTGTTACGCTACGGGCTCAGGAATGTACATGTTTCAGCGGGTAAGGACACACGTACATGTGTACATACATGCATGCATACATACATGCATAAATATACACCGAGATCCTCAGAGATATAGACACATACACTACGACCACGACCACGACTGGAACGACGACGCCTTGGCAGTACTCCTTGCTATTGATGTTGCCTTAACCTACCACAACCTGCTATTTTGAGGCTTATTATTAAAGCCGTTTCTTTTCAAGATACAGGTACCCTACCAACAAATAGCCTTTGGTCGTTCAAGGTAGCTTGCAGCGTGACATGCGTAGGGCGGAGCTCAACTATATACGGATTACTTTCAGGCCAAAGTTCATATTATTTGGGTTACCCTAAACCCTAAACCCTAAACCCTAAACCCTAAACCCTAAACCGTACTAAACCCTAAACCCTACACCGTACGGACCCTTAGGGATCTTGAGCTGCCCACAATGATGGGCTCCAGCCATTCAAGCCTGTAGGATGAGATGTTGCAGCACGGTTTAGGGTTTCGGGAGGTAGGGCCTTAGGGGTTTGGGGTTTAGGGGCTTTGGGGTTTGGAGTTTAGGGGCTTTGGGCAGAGCCCCTCGACCTCGAGCCCTTGCGACATGAAGCAAAACCCCAATCTCCTAGGTTCCTGAGTAGTACCCTTTTGCCCTTTTTAGTTTAGGGTCCCCTTATTGAAACCGAATCGTAGGAAAAAGGGTAGCCTTATTATAAAGGGGTTACTCAGAGACCTAGTCTCTAAGTCCCAAGCCCTGAACTGTAGAAAATCCCTCCCCAAGGGTCCAAGTACGATTGTGGTGGGTAATAGTAATAGTAATAATAACAGTAACAGTAATAGTAATAGTAATAGTAGTAGTAATAGTAATAGTGATAGTAATAGTAATAGCAATAGTAATAGTACTTAGTACCCTAAAGTATATACTATACGGTTACTTGAACCCTTTGGGCCTAAACCCTGAAACTCTAACCTCACACATCTCCCCAGGAAGCCTAGCCTGCTTCGTAGTATTTGGGCCTGAGTACGAAGAAATGCTTTTCCCTTAGAGACTTTTCGTTCCTTTCCTCAGCAAGACTATACTTTAAAATATGCCTGAATTCTCAGAAATGCTATTCCTCAGGGCCCTATAGGGTTCCTCAGTAGGACTATACTATAAGCTACATGCCTTTTTATCAAGGGCCCCTAATATGACGCCCTTCACAGGAGGTGGAGATGCGCGAAGCAAGGTTGAGGAGCCTCGAAGACTTGGCCAGATTCCCAACGGTTTCGGTTTAGGGTTTACGGTTCTGTCCTTTTCCTATGCCGGGTTAGTGGCATCGCTGCCTAATAATCGGGTAAAGCGAGGAGGCACGACCCAGACTTTTTATCGACGTTGACGACCTCGGGTGGCTAAGTTCTCGTTCGGCCATGTCGGCATTAGATGGTTCGAGGTTCGATCGGAGACTAGGGCAGAATTTCGGGCTTGGGGGTTTGATCCAGAGTTAGGTTCCATAGTGTATAGCGATCGTGTTCTTGACTTGCTCTTTGCCACCTCTTGCTTCGGCTTGAAGAATGAAAGAAGTGCATGTTGGCCCATGCCCCTCATACTGAAACACAGCTCATCAACAGAATCGAAAAATTCGAAATCCACCCACGTCATGATTCCCCGCCCGTGGCGGTAAATCACCTCCTTGGCTCTCGGTAGGTACACCAAACAAAGGAAGTGCTCTTCATTGGGGCCCATTGCTGCAAGTATCGGTTTAGGGTTTCAGGCCGACACAGAGAGAGAGAGAGAGAGGGAGAAAGAGATATATTTATATATATATATATATATATACAATGTATGTATCTTTTATTTGTATACATATGCACGAGGCTCACATAGGCTCACCGCTAAACCTGATCCGTACTAGCCACAATCCTGTGGAATGTGGAGGAGAGCTCGGTAGAGCTCGGGCTTTGGAGGGCAATAGCAGGTGTTTCAATAACAATCCAGACCTTAAGCCCTGAACCCTAAACCCTCAACCCCTATGACCTAAACCCCGAAGCCCGAAACCCTTCTCAGGTCTTGAAGCTGGACCAGGAGCGATCCCGTCTGAACGATGAGGCCAGACCGCCGCCTACAAAGGATTCGTTCGTGGCTTTGGGGCTTAGGGTGTAGGTTGTAGAGCTCTGTGACTCAGTTCGGTTTACTTGCCATGCGCGAGCTGCATAATGTCCTCTGTCGTTTGCGATCATGCCAGTGCCCAGCAGCCGGTATATCTCAAGGTTTATTGATGCTGAAAACCGTGATTTTGCTGAAAATAACGAAGAAGGCTCTTGCGTCCGTTCGCCAGGCCACGCAGGATGCAGACAGAGCGCAGGACCTTTTGAAAGAGGCTCCCCATAAACTCTGCTTTTGCGTCGTCAGACTTGCTGACTTGCTGTTCAGGTTTAGGGTCCATGGTTTGGGGTTGTGTTTGTGTGTGCGTGTGTTGCATAGCTTGGAGTTGCAAGTGAACATCCAAGCAGGGCTGGTTCGGATCCAAGCATAGATCTACCTACTTTGGGGCTTAGGGTTTAGCTTTTAGAACCCTAAACCCTAAACCCGAAAGGCTACAAACAGCACCTAGATTGGACTATTTGGAGCCCTTGGGGTCAGGAATGAAGTCGACAGAGCTGTCAGAGTAAGATAGCCATCGTTACTGTGGTAGCCGCAGTAGTGACTAGTGATGGTTACAATGGCCGCAACGTGTAGACTAGAGGAGTAGGGGGCTGGATGGATGGATGACTGGCTGGATGGATGGATGGATGGATGGACGGACGGATGGATTTATGCATGTATGCATGTGTGTATGTATGTATGTATGTATGTATGTATGTATGTAACATGTAACCTATGTATGCATGTATGTATGCATGCATATATGTGCTTGTAGGTAACTAAGAACTTCATCAACTTGTCAATCAATAACTAATGATGGTGGTTGACCCTTTAGTCACTAACATACTTTGGTTAGTTAGTCGGCTAGTTAGTTCGGCTCTTCCTTTGTCAGTATTGATGAGCCAACTGATCATTGTCTGCAGTATTTTACGAAATGCTAAACAATCGTTTCACTATCTGATTATTTGGCTAATTAAGTTACTGAAGTGACACGTTGTCCAAGTTATCAACGAATTTCGTACAACTTATGTAGGTAGCAACTAAAGCGATGAGCGCCCTCGTCTTTTCTTCAATCCAACTTTTCGACAGACTAGACTTATCCCGATCATCCCTTCCCCCCCCCCCCTCTCTCCCTCCCTCACTCTTGAACCTCAAACCACGGGCTCGGAGATTCGATTCCACGGCTTCGCACTTCTAAAGCGTAAACGTATGCACGCCGCCGATACTGGTATCGGAGCCTGAATATTTACTACCAGAATTCCTCCGGGAAGCCTAGCCCATACATACGATAATAAGGCCCGAAACCCTATTCTAATTATCCGAACCACTATATGTAATGTAGTATACGATAACATACTATGCTAGACCCTAGTATACCATGATTTACCAGAATATACTGTACTTTAAGATAGTAAGCTTCGATGGGCAAAGGTGATGGAGCTGGCGCATGGAGGAGCACAAGAGGCACACACTGCATGCTGCCTTTCAGGTTTAGGGGTTTGGCGTTTGGGGTTTGTGGTGCTCAGGTATCCTTGATGGGCCGCAGAAAGTCGTGCCAACGTGAGTACAGTATCGACAACAGCTGCCCCGCAGTGCGGAAACAATGCGTATAGTCAACATAGTCGCCCAAACTCGATAAGAACAGAACAGTGTTGTGAAGGCCGCCCTTAGCCGTCTTAGCCTTTCGTGTGCACCCTTGAAACGTCAGATGTGCACCTGCGACTCGAGACGGCGGTGCAGATCTGTCCTTAGGGCTGACCGGAAGACCCTAGGGCCCTGGGGCTCCAGCTATCTAAATACTAGGTTATTGGGGTATATAATATCTGGTTAGAAACCTACTATTTAGGTAACTGGAGCCCAGAGAGAGTTTCTTGGAGATGCTACGATTTGTAGGACTTACGGTTTAGGGTTTCTGTATCTGAACTAAACTAGACCCTGCGCACTGGACCCGACACCCAGAAGAATCCTAAAGTCTTTCAGCTGGAATCCCACCTTCCTGAAGCCTGTTACTATGGGCTACGTTCAAGCTAGATCCTGAACCCGCAAACCAGGATCCCTGCAGCAAACCGCAGTTTTCGGTTGTCGCGCCCCTAAACCCGAAACCCTAAGCTGCCAGGAGTCTATCATCGTGACATCTGCTCCCGCGACTTGTTGCATGCTTTTGTGGGAGTTCAGGGACTCCGTCGCTGAGTTCTTGGTTTTACGGTTCTGTGGCCCCTATATGGTGACCATGACGGTTCCTACAAGGCTTAATTACCATGAGCTTTCCTCATGGAGATTGTGGGTCTGTAGAAGGGTTTTGAAGTGTTGTGTTTACTTTGGGATTGAGGGTGCAGCGCTTCGGTGCAGGGATGTAGTCAATGCTCTGCGCTTGCAGAGTAGAGGGGTTCACCGGGTTTGAGGGTTGAAGGGCTGAATATACCCTGAGTGAACCATTTTACAATCTGTCCTTGCAAATCCTTGATGCATTATGTGTACTTTAACCTGCTGTTGTAGATGCCCTGGTACTGGGTGGTCTCCTGAGATCGTTGGTCTCGGCTGGCCTCCTGGCATTTCCCTGGCGTGGTCTCCTGGACTTTTGCTCCTGGTGGTTTCCTGGAGTCTCCAGTTGGCTGTTGGTAGTCTCTGTCTCAGGGTGGCCTCCTGGGGTATTGGCGATCTTTTGGTGGGTTGTTTGATGCGCCCTGTGTGCCTCGCAGGCTGCCCATGATTCACTACGGGTACCTCAGCGGTTTAGGGTCTCAAAGCTTCTGTCACCGCGAACCTTCTGAAACAACGCTTTGCCCCGAAGATCCCGAGACGCCGAACAAAACCGACATGTAGGGGTTTAGGGTTTTGCGGCTTTTGGGACTAGGGGTTAGGACTCAGAGTTTGGGGCTTTGGGGTTTGGGGCCTTGGGGATTAGGGGTTTAGGGTTTATAGGGGTTACGGGTTCAGAGGTTTAGGGTTGACTTGGGGTTTGGGGCTTCAGGGCTCCACAACGGTCAGGGACCACGGTGCTTTTCCTTTGCCGCACCAGGTTCATTCTCGGCTGGCAGTCGCCTCTGCTCGGCCCCCGGCCAGCGCATTGCATCTGAAGGATGAATACTAGTGAACGGTTAAGGTTTAGGGTTTAGGGTTTAGGGTGTTGACAGATCGGTACGAAGAATGGAAGTATATGGGGTTGTCGGAAAGTTTTGACAAATAGATAGCAGATAGCAGCGTCAGCAGTAATAATGCCAGCAGTACTCACGAATACGGAATGCAATCGTAGCTTGCATTAGCACTCGCAGTACCCGCGGCCATATGCCCCTAAACCCTAAACCCTGTAAGCCCAATAAACCCTATAAACCCTAAATCCTAAACCCTATAAACCCACCCTATAAACCCTAAACCCCAAACCATGCACCAATTGAGACGAAGGTCCAGCGAAGTTTGGCGCAGCTCGACCTGGCTACATGCAGGTCGAAGGCCGGTTTTACTTTTTGAGGTTTCGGGTTTAGGATTTGGGGTTTAGGGTTTAGGATTTAGGGTGTATAGGGTTTAGGTTTTAAGGTTTAGGGTTTAGGATTTGGGGTTCAGGGTTCAGGGTTTAGGGTTCAGGGTTTAGGATTTGGGGTTCAGGGTTTGGGGTCGGAAGGGTGAGATCCTAAATGTTGACCAAAGCAGCTGTTTCCTCAATATGCGGGCCCCAAACGACCCCTCAGCGTGAAGAAGTTCCCGAAAGCCCTTGTGGCCTTATAGCACCTTATTAACCTCCACAGCAACATTCTCAAACCAACAACACCATGCTAAAACCGACAACACCATGAAAGGCCAAACCCTAAACCATAAAAGGCCCTAGAAACCACCCACAAACCCACAACATCATAAAAGGCTCTCGAAACCCTCCACAAATATCCCCCAACTACCCTCTAATATACCCCAAATTGCCACAATTAAGGGGAGGGGGGTCCTGGCACAAAGATCCCGAGAGGTGGCGGCCTTCGTGAGCGGTGTTCCCGAGCCCTGGCGGCAGGAGCTCGAGGCCAGAAAGGTTCTAGGAGCTCGGTGCCCCGCCTGGCATACCTAGACCTACTAAACCCTACTTTTTTTGTAGGTTCTTATTATAAACCCGAATATGGGATTTATAGGGACGCTACAACAAAGTAGGTTCTGGTAGGTTAAGGTATGGGCCTTAAGGATTTCTATCCTTATCAGAATATAAGATTCCTTTAAGGGGTTTATAATGTACTATAAGGGATCTATAGTAACTAGGGTTCTGTATGGTTCTGTACTATAGAGGCCTTTTAATAATTGCCTAGACTATCTTGGGGGGCTCCTGATCATAATTCTAGTAGAATGGGCCCCAAAGCCCTATTCTGGTTCTTCAGGCCCCTATACTATAATACTCTCATAGATCCCTTATAGAACGCTTTAAGGATCCCTTCATAGGGTTCCTGCCTTCAGCCGTTTGAGGTTCGTTAGCCTTGCAGATCTCCCCTAAACCTAGAAAGAGCCAAGAAGCAGAGAGACTGGGCTCTTAAGGGATTTAGTTTAAGTTACCAAAATAGGGATCTATAGTGATAAGGTTTCCGAATTATGGTAACTTACATGAAGTCCCTTAACAAGAACCCAGAAGATGCCGATGGCAGGGAGCGCCCCAATCAGCGGCTGCGAACTCACTGGCGCTCAGTGAGGCCCGAGGGTTTGGGTTTAGGGTTTTGGGTTTAGGTTTCGGGAGGGGGGGATGTGGCTTAAACCCGGCACTGCGGGGTAACTCTGAACCTTGGAGCGTCTGGTGCGTAAACCCCCACGCACTCTGGGCAATCGTTATAACCGTCTGGTGCTGTAGACATGCATCCATTAAGGAGCTGGAGCACGTGCAAATTAGATTTTGCCAACTCATTCTAGTGCTGAGGACTTCGGTCAGGTGTTATCGTGGGCTTTCAGCCGAAGGCGTTAGCTGCTAAGCCGCTAAGCATCAGAGTATTTGGGAGCTCCTCATGTTTTCCTTCAATCTCAGATCCTGCTTTCTTTCAAGGTGCGGCGGCGAGCCGCGGGTGCCGCAGAGCGTGCAGCCGCTCGTGCAGAGGCAGATGGTGTTTCGGCTCTCCATGTTCGGACTTCGAGTTGTAAAGAGAATCACGCGCCACAGGTGCCCGCGGGAGTGTAGGGTTTCGACGTTATCCCTTTCCGGGGCGGCGCGGTTTGCCTTGTATATACATGATCTTTACGTCCACGTTGTGGGTTTGTTTTTCAGGCCTTATCAATTGCTGCGGCGGATTCAGGAAGTGTCTCAGGGTTCAGGCCTTCCCTATCACTGTCGTCCTGCTGGTGAACACTCAGGTTGAGCGCAGTGGGCTGGTAGCCCGACCGCATTTCTCAAGTCGAACAGACACTCCGAAACCTTGAAGGCTCACGGCCCACAGCCTTTAGGGTTTGGGGTTCAGCTCCTGATGATGGTGATGATCATAGGACGTGCTGCTACTCCTACTACTACAGCTACCCAAACCCATCAAGGAACGGCGCACCCTAAACCTTAAACTAACTCTAGACCTCTAACATCCCCTATAGATCTTAAGCCCTAAACTCTACACACTAAACTTCAAAACCCTAGCCCTTATAGTTAACCCTTGTAAAATCATAGGAGGCCAAAAACGGTTTTAGCCTATGGGGGTTTAGTAGGGATTGGGGTTCCCATAATTGGGTTCAAATTAAGGAATCCCTACCCCAAGAATCTTACACCCCCCTTTCCTAAACCCTATACCCCTATAGAATCCCTATAGAGCCCGTTAAAGGGACCCTTAAAGGAACCCTTCTAACTACCCATGAACCTCCAAGTAAGCCCTTATAAAAGACCCCACCAGAGAGGCCTTGGGCCATGCTGCACAGCGCTGCGGTCTCCAGGTTCGGTGGATTTGGGGGGATGTTTTCTGGCGACATTTGGGTGGTTGTCAAAATTATGGCCCCTTACCCTAAACCCTAAACCCTTGTTGGGTACCCAAATATTAGATAAGGACCCAAAAGGGGACCCTAGTTTTGACAACTGCCCATTTAGGGAACCTTAAGGGCTACTTCAAAGGCTAGTATAATCAGGGTTCTCCTAGCCTTTGTGGTGTGAGGTGTAGGGTTTAGGGTTTTGGCGGCTAGGATCTTTGGTCTGGGTTCTAGGGTTTAGGGTTTAGGGTAATCTAAGTTTTTTGGGGCGGTTGGGCCCTCTTGAAAAGAAAACTTAGCCACGTGGGACATCTTGCTCCACCGGCAAGTGGGGTCAATTTATGAGGGATCTGCCGCAGTGCTCGCTTTGGTCTCTGAGTCTGCAATTTAGTAACTTAGGACTGAACAGATGAATTTAGTAACTTAGGAATGAACAGATGATTTCAGCTTGCTCTTCAACGTTGAGGGGTCTGCGGTCTGCAGGGAGCGAGGGTTCAACGGGCAAGGTTCGGGGCACCGGGCTTACCATCTCGGTCGTAAGCATACGGCTTACGGATGAGAAGATACGAAGTGTCGGGCCGGGGTAGTTGATTTAAGCTGCATCCGAACATGTTAGGAGCGATGAGGGTGCAGAGGGCTTTGGGCTTTGAGGTTTCGGAACGTAGCCCACATGCATCATGAGATGCGGAACTGCGAGACCTTTGGGCACTAGAATCCTCACTGTAAACAGTCAGTCCATATAGCCCTTACCTCTAACCGTTAGCCGTATAAATAGGGCAAGAGGGACCAAGGATTCAAGAGACTCCCACCCGACATGGTCCGTTGCACACTCTGTCATTGGACCTGTGAGTTCTTTTGCATGCATGTCGTTTCATGAGTTCTCGTGCCCTCTGTATAAGCCCTGTACGCCGTATGCCAAGTTACCCCACTCTTTGTTCCGTTTCAGGGCTTTGTGCTGGAAAGAAGCCTTGAACTAGCAATCGAAAGCACGATCTAAGTGAACGAAAGAAGCTGCTCAAACAGCCCCCCAGTCAGTAAGACCCAGACAGTCCCACCCTGCAGAAGCCTCTTCATTGCAATTATGCCATAATAAACCCAAGGCCATGTTGTAATTACTACTGTGTCGATCGTACTTGACAGAAGCCGTCCATCCTGCAACCTTAAGATTCCACAGTGCCCTCACAGGGGAACACGCCGCGCCTAGATCTTTGTGAGGCACGTCCGTCTGCGCTTATTGGACTGTAGACTCCGTGCTTGGCGGGGGCATGTTCATAGTTCAGGGATGTTCAGATGATGCTCAGGGGTTAGGGCGATACATGCAGCTGTTGTTGAAGACGGATGGCCTGTTGTTTACCACTCTTGGATAGCTGTCAATGATCTGCAGCTCTTTCTGCTTTCTCACAACTCACCTGCTGTATGCCACTTCATGTTCGCCCAGCCACCTTCCATGCTGGTACTCTTCCGAGGATGCCGTTGCAGCATGCGGTTGGTCTGTCGCACAGTAATTAGCATAGATCCATCGACAGACTGATTTGCGGACACATTGCGTTCATGAAAATATGCGTGATAACGAAGCAAACTGGTGGCATTGCAGCGCTGTGTCATGCTGTCGTTTCCGCCAGATCGGTTGATAAATGCAGAGACAGCCTCATCAGTGGGCCTTTGTGCTACCAGTAGCATGGAACAAAATCAAACCTTGCTTTGAAAGGTTGCGTGTGCTGCTTTCCGATGTGCGGCGACGCTGGAGGGTGCTCTCGATGCAGGCATGGACGCCCAACATCGCGATGCAGGGATTCGCCTGCTAGCACTGTTATGGTCCTTAATGTTAATTACTGACGACAGCTGCTGCGAGATAACTAGCTACTACTATGAATACTTGTTTGACGACGATGATACCCTTTCATGCTGGCGTTATCATCTGGCGTTGTCCGGCTCTGATCACTTCTCAAGAAACCTCAGCGCACTTCCCTGCATCGAGTTACCGATGCAGTCCCAGAGTGCAATGAAAAGGAATTAGTCGTCGTACCCTAGACCCTAAACCCCTAAACCCTAAACCCATACTGAACGCATACTAAACCCCAAGCCCTAAGCCCTGTTGTCTCTTCTCCGACCGCTGTGCAACAACCAAGGACAGCCATGGACCATGTAGACCGGACGAAACGAAGCATCACGACCCGATACTGCCGTTAAGCAGCTTGTCAACTTCTTGGTGTTGCTGTTGTTGCTACCTGGAGCCCAAAAGTATGTAGAATAATAGCCGGTTCAATGGCCCTTTATAGGTTTTCAGCCATCATTTCACCTACTTTTGCTGAGTTTAGGTAGTTGTCTTGTCGATGATGTCGGCGCGTCTCGGCTGAAAGGTCTCGGCTCGGAGCTGAATGACGAGGAGTCCATCCGAAAAGCGGCAGTCGACTTCGAGGATTGCCTCCTGAACCTTTTAGTCTCAAGCCTATACCCTAAACCCTAAACCCTAAACCCCTAAACCCTAAACCCTAAACCCTATATACCTAACCCGAACCTGGAGCTCCAAAGTATGTAGAATAGTGGCCTTTTCACAGGTATTGGGGCCATTATTCTACCTACCCTTTGGGGGGGTTTAGGAAGCCCTAAATCCTAAACCCCTTCAACCCTAAACCCATACTAAGCCCAAAGGCCCTAACCCCCCCCCCCCCCCCCCCCCCCCCCCCCCCCCCAATTTTCCGATGTACAGCGAGAGCTCCGAAGTTTCAACTCAAGCAGCCAGGGCATTTGGGTTGAGGGTTTAGGGTGGCCTGGTAGCATCTACCAGGTCGAGGTTTTTCGACGGTTTCGTTGCTTCGGCACCTTTGTGGAATATTCTGGGGTTTAGGGTTAAGGGTTAAGGGTTAAGGGTTTAGGGTTGATTGCTGTCTTCCTGCTCCGTATCTTCAGACGGTCACGAGGCTAGCAGGCCTTGGGATGGCACAGGCTGTCATCTAGCATCAAAAAAGGCCTAGCTCGCAATGTTCCGTCGCGACTAAACCTCACAACCTTCAGATCCAGAAGTTCTTAGAAAGCCCCAACCCTCGACATGTAGCAGTAGTCACGGGAATGACAGTGGTGGCAGTAGTCGTAGTAGTAGTCGTAGTAGTAGTAGTAGTAGTAGTAGTAGTAGTAGTAGTAGTAGTAGTAGTAGTAGTAGTAGTAGTAGTAGTAGTAGTAATAGTAGTCGTGGTGGTGGTGGTGGTGGTGGTGGTGGTGGTGGTGGTGGTGGTGGTGGTGGCGGTGGTGGTGGTGGTGGTAGTAGTAGTCGTAGTGGTAGTGGTCGTGGTCGTGGTCGTGGTCGTGGTCGTGGTCGTGGTCGTGGTCGTGGTCGTGGTCGTGGCAGTGGCAGTGGCAGTGGCAGTGGCAGTGGCAGTGGCAGTGGCAGTGGCAGTGGCAGTGGCAGTGGCAGTGGTAGTGGTAGTGGTAGTGGTAGTGGTATGGTAGTGGTAGTGGTAATGGCAGTGGTAGTCGTAGTAGTAGTAGTAGTAGTAGTAGTAGTAGTAGTAGTAGTAGCAGTAGTAGTAGTAGTAGTAGTAGTAGTAGCAGCAGTAGAAGTAGGAGCAGTAGAAGTAGAAGTAGTAATCAGTTGTAGCAGTTGTAGTAATCCCACTGATTGTAGGCGGTAGTGGTAGTAAATCTAATAGAGGCAGTAACTACTACTGGATTGCTGAAAGCCATGAGGAACCGTTGGCAATCTGCCTTGAGCCACCTATCCCCGAGCACTTCACGTGCAGACTGAGTCGTCCATGGCAGGAGCATTTCCACAAAGCCGAGCAGAAATTGCGTGAGGTGATGAGCAAGCGGTGGCCGAAAACTCAGAACTCATTTCAAGTGTTTGTTGCTGTTGTTGTTGTTGTTGTTGTTGTTGGTGGTGGTGGTGGTGGTGGTGGTGGTGGTGGTGGTGGTGGTGGTGGTGGTGGTGGTGGTGGTGGTGGCGGTGGTGGCGGTGGTGGTGTCATTATGCTTGCTGTTGTGGTTGCTGTTGCTGTTTCAGCGCTCGTAGCTGCTGCGGTTTTTGCAGAGTCCGAGAGTGGGTTCAATTCAGAATCCCAAGACGCCTTTGGCTCCCTTGCAATCACCGTAGTTGAAACCGTCAACCCTCCAGATAATGAGTAGGTTTACTGTTTCGGTTTTCGGGCTTAGTTAAGCCTAAACCCTGAACCTCTAAAGCCCAAGCCCCTACGCCGCTACATCCTAAGGCCCCAAAACCGCTGCATCCTAAACCCCCAGCTGTTTCATATTTCGGGCTCAAGTCCCTAAACTAAAAACCCCAAACCCTAAAAGCCCTAAACCCTAAACCCTAAAACCCTAAATCATAAACCCTAAATCCTCAACGCTGGCCTCTAAACAGCCCCCCACCCACAGAGACCCTTTCGCTGCTCCCAGGCCGGACGTGGAGTCACCGAGTCAGGCCACCGTCTAGGGGTTACCTGGACCCTCAGAATCCAAGAAACCAACGGGTTTAGGGTTTAGGAGATCAGGGGAGCCTTATCTAGGATCTGGAGTAGGCCCTTATTCCCTTTTTGTAGGTGTCGGGTTCCCTTATAGGCCCCTTTAAACCAAAGAGGGCACCCTTTTTATTCCTAGGCTACTCTTGGGCCTAGTTATTTTGTACCCTAAATAGTAGGACCCTTATTGTAAGGACCCCACAGAAGTTACCCCTAATGTTCGGAAACTCCCAAGGGTTTAGGAGATCAGGAGTTTCAGGAGATCAGGGTTTCTGGTTTAGGAGATCAGGGTTGAGCCCTATGCCTCCAGGGACCTTATTATGGGGTCCTTAAGGGCTCTAGGGCCCGAACTATGAGGTCCTTGGAGGGATAGGGTGAGGGTTTTGGATCTACTTGGACTTTGAGAAACCTACCTTTTTTGGGGGGTTCAATGTTTTGGGTTCTTGATTCAAGTCCTTAAAATTGGGGGTTAAGGTATGGCTGAGGGTTTAGGTAAAGGGCTTGGGTTTATCGTTAGTAGGCTGGTGGAGAAAAGTTAAACGGGCAGAGGAGGTTTCCATTAGGGTTTGGGGGGGGGAAGGTTTCTGATCGACGGTTTAGGGTTTAGGGTGAGCTGGGGGCTAATGCCTATCCCAAAACCGTCTTGGTTCTTTCACATCAAGATGCGCTGTTCCTTGTCATTTCTTTAAGGCTGTCTAGCCGGATTGAGAGGTTGACGGAAGGTTTTTGTGTGGTGCTGCCTACGGTTCTAAGTTGGGCAGCTATGCGGCGATGCTTGTGGACACACCCATCGCTGTACTTCTGGTTTAGGTTTTAGGGGCTTGAGCTTCGGGTGTTGTGTGGATGGTGCTTCAGGTGCTTGGTAAAGCGTTAGGTCGGTGTCGCGATCCTTAAATTAAAGGGCAGTTTGGCAGACAGGGTGAGGAAGGCGGCTGAGCAGCAGGAGCAGCATCAGGACAGTGGCACTGCAGCTGCCAGTGCCAAGGAGTAATGACCTGAAAATGCAGATGCAGCAGCTGCAGCAGCAGGCCAAGCCGGCCACAGATGAGGAGCGACCGGCCAAGCGGCACAAGGATGATGGCATCCCAGCCCCGCCAAAGGCAACGCCACGAAGCACGCTGCCCCCGAAGCCCAAGGTGGTGAGAGCTCCTGGCATCGCTTCCTAAGAATTATCTAGGAGGTACAGCTCCACGGCTCTACCGAGTTTTCAGTCAAAAATACAACCAGTCAGCAACATGAACCGGTTTGCTGCTGGCCCACGCCGATTCACGGTGCCGTGCATGAATTGTTTAGGGACATAGCAGATCTCAATCTCAACCTCACATCTAACCATAGGGACCTCAATAATTAGAATAGGGTTTTGAGGCCCAATTGCAGTGAGGAACCCCCAAAATAGTATTGGTAACTATTGAGGCCCCTATTTTACCCCAAACCTTAAACCCCTAAACCCTAATCACGAAACCCTAAACCCAAAACCCTATTGGCTCAAGGCAGGAGGGTTTGTCAGGGCTTAGCATCGTTTCAAGATGATCGATGGAGGTGCTGCCATGGGTGGTGCTGCGTTTGGAGGTGTTGGAGACGTGGATCTGCGCCTCGGATGTCGCGGAAGCGGTAAACAATCGATGCACCTCGCACGTACCGGGCACCATCTCGCGGTTGACGCCGCGCAGCAACTCGTCGAACGCTTCACCACTTTGGAGACCGAGAACGAAGTCCTCTAAGCCGAAATGGCCGAAGTGGGACCTCAACTCGAAGCGGCGAAGCAAGCCTTGGCTGAAGTGAATGCCAAGGAGCTGGCAAAAAAAACAGCTTCGCGAGAGGTGGAAGCGCTGAGGGCCGCAAGAAGCGAAGCCGAAGAAATCACCTTCACGAGTTCGGGAAGCCTGGAAGAAGCTCGTCGCGTCCTGGCAGAAGAGGAGACAGCGGCAACCAAAGTTCAGGTCGGCTGCAATCGGCGCAATGCAGCCTTCGCGCTTGTATGCGGAGGGGATGCCTATACCTGGCGGCGCGTCATGCTCGTTACAACCAAGTGCGCAGGACCCCGGAGCTGATCCGGCGTATCCGGGAAGAGCCAGCGCATCCACCAACAGCGCGGGGTCATCGGCTGAACTGGGTTGGAGCAGCAGTTGTGCAAGGCGTTTATGATCACCACATGGAAGGACACCACACTTCAACGTGGATTCGCGGAGTATGAGCACGGGGCCACCGGATATCTCGGAGAGGTTGCGTGGGGTACCACGGACTTCCCGGGACAGCCCCACATGTGTCCGGAGGACCTGGATAGATGGGCTGCACGCAGAGAGGAAGAACTCTGGCGAGCGCTGGATTTCCAGGGATGCCAACACTTGCCCAGCTCCTCTTCTTCGAGCTCTGACGAGATCACGGGCGACGAGTCGTCCTTGGTCACCACGTTCAACAGGAAGTTCTTCAAACAGGAAGGGAACAGGTGGAGGCGTACACGCCAAAGGGGAGCCTCCCGACGGGAGTTTCGCCTCGTCGAGATGAACCATGTACTCGGGAAGCCATACAATTTCGCTAAAGCTGCGGCCTCTACCAAAGCCCGTGCCAAAAAAGATGGCAAAGCCTACCTCGGGTACCCCAACGATTGCTGCAGCTTCGAGCACGGATGTACCACTGCCACTTACGGTGGACAGGGCGGTTGACACATGGATGTTAACACTTGGTCTCCGGCACATTGACGAGAGGCATGATGGTCCCTTCTTGACCAGGGACACTATGGCCAGCCTTGATAATACTTTCCTTGACCACAACCCCGCCGATCGCCTGACTCTTATGTTGGGCATGCAGCGCCTTTGCCTGCAACTTCTGGCTGCAATGGGTGAGGCGGTCCAGCAAGCAGTGCAGGAGGCTGAGGGAGCAGCCAGGGGAGGGATGGAAGAGGTTGAAGTCCAGACGGAATAGACGCGGCCCACATGCAAATGCCTAGCCCTTGGAGACTGCTGCTTCAGAACCTCCTTCAAGACCTCGAATCCATGGTCAAGCTGCGTGCCACTACCATTGCTCGGTGGTTGCTGGACTGGCTGCAACATCGCTGTGTGGACGACCGAAGGGGCTACTTCTTGCGGCATATGGAGGGAGCGGTCCAAGAAATCACAGCCATTTTGGTCACCTCTCTGGAAGCCAAGATGCTGGCAGCTGGGACCGGACCTCAGAAGAAGCGGCAAAGATGGGGCTTGAGTGGGCTGTCAAATTGCAGCCGCATCTGCCAGCACATGAAGGGAGTCGTCAATCCCGAGGGCTAGTACCTGTTCGCAAACCCATTATGCTCTTCTCGCGCCAACTCCATTCCAGCTCTGATTCGGATGTCATCTTTGTCCCGCCCCGGGTGATCCATGGTGACCTCCCTGGACCGGAATGTGGCGACAATGACCCTCGACCCTGGCGACAACACCTCAATGTGGAGAGTCTGGCAGTGACGAGTTGGACTACTTGGACCGGCTGCGACGTCTGGATGAGGGCCCGGATGGCACGGGCCGAATAAGCGACAGAAGACTCAGACGGTCCTGATGGTGGAAGTCGCGACGGGCAGTGCTGAAGTTCCTCGCAGGATGCTGAGGGTTCTTCTTGATGATCAAGGGTCTGGAACAGTCCAGCTGACACTCAGGGTGACGATGAGGATGAGATTGCTACCAAAATTGTGCCTGCTCCGGTGATGCCGCCAACGCCAACGGGCTCGCCGACGGACAGGGTTGGGGTGTCTGGGGCGGAGCTTGGCATTGTGGCCTTCCAGGAAATCTACCAGCGCATGCTCCGTGAGGGTCTGTCTGATGAGGTCATCTCCGACTCGTACGGCCCTGAAGTTCTTGACATGATCCATACGCAGAGGGCTTTGCTTCAACCCACCCAGGAGGACACCGGCACGGGCGAATCTGTCGGGGGCCAGTGGATCGCGCGAGATGCACGAGGGCGAAGGTAACAGCTGAGAGTGTGTTTTTGTGTGCTTTTGGGGTTTCGAAAAGGATCCCCCACTCCTCACCGTATGGTCTTCTGACCTGTAGACATCTGCAGACGGAAAATGGAGCTCAGAAAAAAAACCTTAAACACCAAACCCTGAACCCCCCGCGATCCAAGCTGTCAAGCGCCAAATTGTAGAGCTTCGGGTTCATGGCTCGGGGTAGCCCCAACAGGGTTATGGGGCCTCGGGCTGTCAATTTGCCAAAGTACCGTCAATTAAAGTATGGGAGTTTCCGAAAATAGGGGACCTTAATATAATACCTTACCTAGTAGGATCCATATTATAAGGGCCCCAAAATGAGGCACCCTAATTTTCGGAAATTCCCGTATCAAGAAACCTTATAAGCTGTAATGCCTTTACTCATGATAATGTCAAGCCAAATAACGCTCCCCCAACATCTAAGCTGCCTTCCTTTCTTAAGGTTCCAGCCACCCAAAACCCAACACCCAAGGCATTGATGACGATGATGATAGCGATGCCGTCAACGATGAGGATAACCATGATGATAGCGGTGATGCGAGCGATGAAAACGGTGGTGGTTAAAACCATGATGGTAGCGATGGAAATAACTTGTAATAACAATGTGGTGACAACAGCGACGAGAACGACGACTTTGGAACCAACCCTTTACAGGAACCCTTTAAGGGTTTAAGGCAACCCGATTCTACTGATCCAGGCCCCAACATACTTGCGAGGCGCTCGCAGCAGTTCAAGACCTGGAGAAGGTGGCAAGCACACCCGTCATGGATGGACAGGTCTGCCTCGTGGGTTTCGGATCTAAGGATTATAGGGTTTAGGGATGAGGGTCTTATGATAGGATGATAGGGCTTGGGGGATTCGGGTTTGGGGTTTGAGACATATCTCCCTTCTGCGTAGCGATGGGTTTCGGTTTCGGGATTAGGGATTATGGGGCTTTGGGTTTAAGGATTCTGAGATGGTGAATGTTCAGATGCAATATCGGGTCCTGTGAATTCGGAGGCGAGCAAGTGCACCATGGCTTTTCTACGTCAGGGTCAAGCTTGTCATATTCTTGCCTCCAAAACATCGCGACCTGCTGCTAGGGTCCTGCACTTCAAAAGCCATCCCTGTTAATTACTGCAACCCAAAGGGTCCTAGGTATTGTTATGGGGAATACTGCCCCAAATCATAATAGTAATTCCGAATCTAGAAACCCTACATTCTACTATATAGGTACTTTGGACCCTTTGGGTAGTTAAAGGATGATTTGGCCCTCAAGATCTGATGCATTAATGTATGTTCACCTAGGGTTCTGGGGAGGAGTAGGGCGTGCGAGGTTTGGGGTTTTGTGTGCCTGGGGCTTAGAGAAGTTGAAAGTTACCTGTGGACGTCATACCCAACCCTCCTTCGGGTACCTGATTTTCTGTGTTGATATACCAACTGACCCTTACCACGATAGTAGGCACCCTAAAACCGTAGTAAAATCTTCAACTGTGGTATAAAATGCATTTTCAATATAAACCTTTTCGGTACCTTAAGGTCTACTTCGGGTTTAGGACGGTGTAGGTGATCCTGATTCCTTTACAGCTGGACGCATTCAAAGCAACCGCGATATTATGGTGGGTCCAGCCATTCAGTTCTCCATGTATGCCTTAGGGTTCCCCTATCATAACCACCAACCCTCTCAACTCTGAACCTCTTCCCGAGCCTTCGCCAACCTCTGGGCGTCTCAGGGCCCCCAGCTTCGACGTGCTTGGCTGTTTCAACTCCGACGCTTACAGGCTCGTTGAGGGTTTAGGGTTTCAGGTACAGTAAAGCCGGGAGTTTATGGTGAGGGTCTCAGTTTCCGCAGCTGCAGCCGCAACAAGTTCAACAACGGTACCGACAACAGCAGCAACAACAGCAACAGTAACAACAAGAACAAGAAGGGTAACAACACCAACAGCGACAGGAACAGCAACAACAACAACGGCAACGGCAACAGTGATCACAACAGCAACAGCAGCAGCAACAACACCAACAACAATAAGAACAGCAACAGCAACGACCACTACCACTAATACTACGACTACGACTACGACTACGACGACTACTACTACTGCTACTGCTACTACTGCTACTACTTCTGCTACTGCTACTACTGCTACTACTACTATAACATGATGACGACGGCGACTGCTGCTGCTACGGCTAAGAACGAACCAGCACCTGCAGCAACAGCATCAGCACAACAGCATTGACAGCAGCACCAGGACACCCCGTCGGCACCCACGGCTGCAGCCCCAACAGTGGCACCACCATCATCAGCACTGGTGGGTCTTCGAACAACAGGAACTATGTTTTCCAAGAAAAATAAACCAACTTGACAACTATAAGCTTCTCCATGCATAGGACCGAAGCCCCTAAACCCTAGACACTGTAGGCGCCCATAAACAACTATTCAAGCCCTACAAAGACATCCACACCTGAGCAATAAATCCCTGATGAGACCTTTGTGAGACCATTCTGAAACACTGCAAATCCACAAACCGCTTCGCAACCACTATAAGACCCTGAACCCCAAACCCTCAACCATCATAATACTGTTATTCTTATTGTTATTATCATTGCTATCATTATTAGTGTTTATAATTAGTTGTTATTATATATATTAGTTTTCTTTTCTTGTCTACTATTCTTTCAAAGCCTTGAGGCGCCCTTCGCATATGGCCTCGCGAGTTGCAAGCTGCTCGGTGAAAATTGGGCTGATGTTTTTGGGTTTATAGGTTTAGGGTTTAGGGGTTTAGGATTCAGGGTTTAGGGTTTAGGGTAGGTAGCTGGGGGCCTTTTCAGGGGTTAACTGCTTTGTGGGTTCAATATGAGGGCTAGTACTGAGGTTCTATGGGGACTGACTGAAGCTCAGAGTTTAGGGCTTCGGGCTTGGGCAGAGCACCCTACCCAGACCTTATTTAAATCCGAAAGCCCAGAACTGTATAACTTAGAAGCCTGAATAATTACCAACATTTTTCCCCAGGGTTCCTTATTCGGTCTAGAAGAGTACCCCAAAACCTTAAACCTATTCTAATTATTAAAGCGCCCCCAGCTGGGTCGCTTCAAGACTTCCAGTGCTGCTCTACAGTACTATACGATCATAATATACTATATTTTGCTATTTTTACTTTAAAATACGTTGCTTTAATATACGACAACAAGATAATGTACTATAACATAGTATAACCTTCTACTACAGAGAGGCTTCCTGAGAAGCCGCCGCCGCCACCCGAGCCCGCAGCTGTGGAGGCTTCACTGTGGCCCTAAACCCTGAACCCACGGTAGATCGGTAGATAGATAGAAACAGAAAGATAGACCGACAGACAGATAGATAGATAGACAGCTAGATGGGAGTTTCCGAAAATAGGGGACCCTAATGTCGTACCCTAAACAGTAGGATCCTTATTATAAGGACCCCCAAAATAAGGTACCCCTAATTTTCGGAAACTCCCAGTTAGGGCTGCAGGAGGTCAGAGTTGGGATTTCAGCCTTTGGGGTCATACTTTAGAAGGGGGCCCCCACCCTGTAATAGTGGGTTTAGGGTTTAGGATTTAGGGTTTAGGGTTTAGGGTATAATAGGAATATAATAGGGCCCTAGTATGATCCTTACAGTCACTATTACAGGGTGGGGGCAGCTTCTAAGTCATACTGTTGAAGCAAGCTTTCCGCAGTGCTAAGCCTAGCGGTTTTGTCTTCAGGCAGGTACTTGGAGGTTTGCAGCAATCCTCCGGTTCTTGTTTCTTCGGCCTGTGAGTGAGAAGGTAGCAGAAATCGCGTTAAAACGGCCAGGGTTCACATTCAGAACCGGACCATTGGCACAGCCTTTCCCAGCCCAGCTGATGCTCTCATCTACGATCGGGTTCTAGAGGATTCTCCTGCAATACTGAGGCTGAACTTGCCAGGCTTCTTTGGATTTTGTGGATTTGTCGTCACTCGAGATTCCACCTGCTGCTGCCGTGCACGGATGCGCGTAAATCTCGATCATGCGATCCTGAACCGCCCCCCCCCAAGTAAACGTAAGAAATCCAACTAACCTCTGAAGAAGTTCAGCCCACGTTCAACCTGAAAAAGTCTCAATCCGCAGTCACCAGACGCCGCAACCTTGTTCCAAAATCTCGCAGTCTCCGGCACCAATCGCAGCGGAAGAGGACGGGGCTATGGCAGCGCTAATGAAGCTCCAGATGCCAGGCTGCAAGCAGAGTGTTGGTGATGTTCGTGGTTGAATTATTCTGGTTGCGCAACCGCTTCATTGAGGCATCCGGAACATCTTGTGATGATGGTCGGGTTGTTCAATTGCAGATCTTTGTGGGAACGATAGTTACCACTAGGTTTCGATGGCTCTTCAGATGCAAGTGGGTTGGACGCCAATGTGGGTACAAGTGATCTTGGAAGATGTATTGAACCGGACGGAAGAGATGTCGTTTCGAGCAGAAGCAGGCACCTAAGTTTCACTGTGTTGAGAAGCATGTGGTCTTCTTGTCCGGATTTCTAGCGCATGCAAAGGTTGATGAGTGTGCAGGCTGCATGCGTTTCTTTGAGCGTGTACGCCAGTATGAGCCGCCCTTTTGTATGTATCGCAACTTACACCTGAGGAACCGAAAGAAGAAGGACGACAAGGACGCTGAACCCGCCCTGCCCATCTCCACTTGACTCCAACAACCCGCGTGAACCTAGACCAAGATCATGAACCCAGCACTTGTAGATAATGTGCACATAGGTGCAAACTGGGCAATGGCGAAAGTCCATTTTTGTGATACATCATGTTGCCGTGAAGAGCCATTGGAACTGATGTCCAAGGGTAAAAGGAGGGACCCTTAATAAGGACCCCTAGGTATACACCCTTAAATACCCTTAATATAGCTATTACATACCCATGATATGGCCCATTATAGGGTAGGGCTCCCCATTAAAAGGTCCCTCCTTTTCCCCTTTGATGATGTGTTCGCGACAGTCAGGCATCAGGGTCAAGGACCAGGATCCTGGAGTTGATTCGTTCCAAGCAACACCTAGAAATACTAAACCCTGCTTTTGTGTAGGGTCTCACTATAAACCCTAATGTTCTGGTAGGTTAAGGTACTGCTTTGCGTAGCGCCATTCCCTTACGCCTCCTTCCGATCTCGCACCTAGTCTGCTCAAGAGGAAGCGGAAGAAGCACCGGCTCTTGCAGAAGCCGAGGCCCTGACCTGTAGGGGGTCGGGGCTGGTGAACCCGCAAGGGTCCGGAATTTGGCAGCTTTGCAAGGACTACAAATCGCCACATTACAACCAGATTGTCAGCCTGTGGGTTTATAGTGTTCGGGGTGTTTAGGGTTTAGGGGTGAGGGTTTAGGGTTTATAGTGTTCGGGTTGTCGCTTAGGGGTGGGAGTGAAAATTCATGAACCGCCGTCACGGGATTTCTCAAGTCCTGACAAACAACCCGAACTTTCGTATTGGAAAAGCACAGCATTGTTTTGCGCCAGCGAAGCGAACCCGAAGCTTTTGGCCTTTGAACTTGGAGCTGTAGATTCGAACAGTCGAGTTTGACAGACTGGATCACTGTTGTGGAAACCATCGATGCCGGGGCTTAATGTGATTTGTGACATCGCAGGTTTAGGCTTCAAGGTTCAAGGTTGTGTCGAGGACAGTTACCAAGGACGTTGAGCCTAAAATCCAAAGCAGTATTTAGTGTTTCGGGGCTTGGAGGCAAGAATTTCCCAAGCAAGGCTAGTAGCTGATAAAACCCTCGTGCTCGCAAGCTTGCACACGAAGAATCTGCGGTAGAATTGCAGCAATATAATTTAGGGGCGTAAATAACTCCCAAGACTATTTGGGGCTTCCTTATTACAATAATTGGGCCCAGAACTCTATTCTGATCATTACTCTAAGGCCCTTTATTATTTGCCGTGGCACGCGGTGCTGGCACATTACTCGTCGGGTGCAACCTCAGCTTGCCCATCACATAAGTGCTAATTCAACTTCAAATGCACAAATAACACTATTCATTAATATAGAGAAAGCGTCGTAGAAGCAAATTAAGAAGTATACATATGAATGTAAGTCTTAATCTAAACCTAAATCTAGGGAATTGTGTTTATGAAGTACAATTATCAATGACCTACACATACATACATCTGTATCTATATACACACACATACTTGCATATGTTTATACATATGCACTCGTGCATGCATACATACATACATTCGTAAATCTATGCCAAGTCAAGCCACGCCAAGCAAGCCAAAGCAAACTTGCGTAACAAGATGAACTTTTAGGCACAGCTCATTTAGATGACCCCTGGTCGGTTTACCATAAAGCCTGAACCCCGAATCCCAAAAGCACCGAAACCCCAAAAGCCAAACCTTCGCACCCAAAACGCTCAAATTACCAAACCTAAACCCTAGGCCACAAAGCCTCACCTGCCAAAGCCCAAAAACTCTGAACCCAAAAAGAACAAATCAGAAAGTCCAAAGATATTAAGATGCAAGAACATGGGCCTTAACCTTGAAGCCTCAAATCATACTATTACCGTTACTATTACTATTACTATTACTATTACTAGTACTAGTACTAGTACTAGTACTAGTACTAGTACTAGTACTAGTACTATTACTATACTATTACTATTACTATTACTATTACTATTACTATTACTATTATTATTACTATTACGATTAAACCCGCTATCCCCAGTTGGATCGTCCAGGCTCCAGTTCCTGAGCCTTCGGCTTCTGAGGCGGGCCGGAGGTTCCAGGGTTCAAAGGATTCTGGGTTGCGCTTTGGGATAATTGTTAATTTCCCATATTTCCTCGGGGTTTAGGGTAGGGCTTAGGGTTTAGGGCTTAGGGTGTGTCAGGCGAGGGCGCGGCGGGGTTCCAGGGTTGAAAGGATTTAGGGTTCGGGGTTTGAGGGTTTAGGGTTCATGTCTCGGCACAGGCTTCAGGGCTTGAAGAGGGTTCGCATGCATGGTGCAGATTTTTAGGATGCAGGGTTTCGGGTTTGGGTTTTTGTGTGTGTAAGGGCTTATGGATTTGCGCTTGCATTTCGGGGTTTTCAAAGTTCAAAGATTAAGAGAGATCATGCCTTCTTCGAAACCCTAAACTTTCCTAGCCCTTAAGGACTCTCTCTCTTGCCAGGAACCAGAACCTCCGGCGCGTGAGAAATTCCAAGCCGCTCTTCGGCTGCAACGAGTGCATTCAACATAGTGCATTACACGCCCCCTATCGATGATGAACTTGGTACCACTGAAAGTGCCACGGCTCCAACTGTACTACATAGCCGTCGCATGACGAATACAAGAGTAGTAGCATCAGCATGCGTATATAATGCATACACACACATATATATATATATATATATATATATATATATATGATATAGATACCTATGTATATACATATACGTATGCATATATACATATACAGATACATGTACAGATACAGATACATGCACACGTATATACATATGTAAATATAATATATGTATAATTGTGTGTGGAGGATTTCACGACTCAGATGACATCGCTCATTGTCACGTAGAGAGAGAGAGAGAGAGAGAGAGAGAGAGAGAGAGAGAGAGAGAGAGAGAGAGAGAGAGAGAGAGAGAGAGAGAGAGAGAGAGAGAGAGAGGCGGCAGATGTGGCAGTAAACCCCGGGTGAACTTCAAGCGCGCGATGGTGTACCATCCGTGGTTTATCAATGCAGGCTTCGGTGTAATTGCAACAGGTTCGAGATAGGAGACCCAATATTTGAGATAAGGGTACTGGGGTAATTACAGTATGAATGTGATGAGGACTGATAGGGAACCCTGAGGAATAGTGTTGCTAATCATTCAGGCTTCAAAAATGCTGGAGCAGTGACAGGCAAGCGAGCAACGATATCCGATAGCAGCAGCATGATGAGAAATCGCGGCGAGTGATGCAAACCCTATAAGCCCGACTTGTAAACCCTCCGCCCCGCAGGCCTAAACCCTATAGCTCTCAAGCCTTAAACCGCAAACCCTGAACCCTAAACCTGTCTCCTAAAGCGGCCAAGCCCAAGCCCTAACAGGAGCTTCTCCGCTGGGAGCCCTTGCGACGCCGTCTCGGCGAGGTGGTCGCCGCGTTGATGCGCGCGGGAGCCCGGAAATCATGAAGAGTTTGGGGTCCAAGAGAGAGAGACACCGATAGATAGATCGACAGATAGACAGATATAGACAGGGAGATAGAGAGAGGGAGGGAGGGAGGGAACAAGAGAGAGAGAGCGGAGGAGAGAGAGAGAGAGAGACAGAAGGATGGAGTGGTCATGGGCTTCAGTTACAGTCTAGCCAGATTAGGGTTAAAGACCATTCGTGTTCGGTATGCGGGCTTTGCGAGCTAGAGGAGCTCAAGGTTTGGTTGTTAGGGTGTGAGGCTGGGTTTCACGGTTCACAACAGGAGAAGCACAACTTGAAGTTCAGAAACTTTGATTTAGTTCTTAACCTTCGGGCCATGTGGAAGGTTCACGATTGAGGTGCAGAGGCTTCAATAAGGCTTAGGGTTACAGTGTCCAGCTTTTCAGATGTGCGACATACTCACAGGCTGGGACTCACCCCAGAGCCCACCAATACTTCAAGCGCGCCGCAGTAAGCGCAGCAATGAACTACCACCAAGTCTCTGAGACGGTCAACTTTAAGCCCCAAACCCTAAGCCCTGAGCCCCAAACCCTAACACCACAGCCCTAACAGAAAGCCCTAAAGCGTAAACCCTAGACCATAAGCTCTAAGCCCTAAACATGAATCCCTAAACCCGACACCCCCCCCGGGACCCTAAGCCCTAAAGCCTAAACCATGCGCCTTAATTCCTAAAACGACCACGCCTCGCACCGTGACCCCCGGCCAAAAAAGGGCTCTAGCCTTGATAGCCATCTCGTGATACTGCCATTCATCAAGCCGTAGTAATTACCGATATTATATTTGGGGTGGGGGGGGGGGTTCTGATTATAATTATAGTATACCGGGCCCCAAAACCCTATTCTGATTACCGACACCCCCCATCCGAGCCGACTTGTGACACACTTCGGGTTTAGTTCTAGGCAGGCCCGTGCCGGGCTAGATTGTTCAAGTCAGCACCGTGCAGGCTACGTTGCTGCTGTAGTCCCTCAGATGGTGATAGACGACACTTGGGTGGTTGTCAAAATAATGGTCCCTTTTTGGGTCCATAATATAATACGGCACCTGATATTTAGGGTACCCGAAAAGGGACCACAATTTTGACAAAACACCCACTTGCATGGATGCATCAGGTCTGGGTCGTCTTGTCGCGCTTAAGCTGAGGACTTCCAACCCATGGCCTTCCAGTCTACGAAATTGGACATATCGGATCTATAGGGTTCTTTAAAGGGAGCTATAGGGTTCCTTAGTTCCTTAAAGGGATCTATAGGGTTTAGTTTGGGGTTTTAGGGTCTACTTGGAGGATCATGGGACTTAGTAAGTAGGGTGTTTAAGGTACTTTAGGGTTCTATAATAGGGTTCCTTAGAGGGATAGGGGGTTCATAATGGGGGGATCATGGGACTTAGTAAGTAAGCTTATAAGTACCTTAATTGGGGTTGTAAGTAGTTATAAGTATAGTTACCTTAATTATAACCCTAGTTATTAACTCCCATGTTCCTTTAAGTAGACCCAAAGCTCCAAAGCCAAGCCCTGTAATTAAGCCTCAAGCAAAGCTTCAAAATTCATAGGCGGTTCGGGTTAGGGTTCAGGGATCATTGTCCAGGTGCTTCCAGCCCTCTGAATTTGCCGGCCTTGCCCGAGGACGCCAAAGACTTCTGGTCGAGCGTGGTTGGTACTCACTTGCTTCGCATGTTTTTTGGGGCGGCGGTTTTCGAAGTTCTGCGTGCCGATTGGTTGAAGTGTTATTTTCCCTTCTTAGATCGCGGCCGAGGCACGCGTTTGACCCGGTTCGAGACTCGGTGGAAACTCGAAGCCGAAACCCAGACATATAATATGGTATAGTATAATTAATATAATAATAACCATAATAATAATAATAGTAGTAATAATAATAACAATAATAGGCGCGACAACCATCCGGCATTGTCGCAGGAGTTGCTGAGGGCTGCGAAAGCCATCGAGGCGGGTCGGCTTCACTCTTTAAAGTAGGAGCTTTTCCAGGCAGAGGCCCCTGTATGTAGGGTGTACAGGGTTTAGGGGTTTAGGGTCACGGTTAGAGTTTAGGGTTTAGGGTTTAGGGTAATTAGCTCTAAGGTCGGGGCTTACGACTGGAGGGTGTTGATTTTGCACGGGCTCTTCATATATATATATATATATATATATACGCCCGTTTCTCTTCTTCAGGGTGATACGTCTCCCTCGATCGAAATCCTTGTGGCCCTTCTTGCACTGTAGCCCCGCAACCTTATTCGAATTGTTATGTTCGGCCCTGTATTTGTGTTCATTTCATGGGTTAGCCCTCCTTGGCGGTGCTCCTGTATCTCCATGGGCTGCCTATTTAAGCTCTCGGAACCTATCTAAGCTGCTGTGAAGCCCGCCAAGCATTCTACCACACTCTAGTCTGCATGAGTGTTTGCACTCCCAAATTACTCTTAGTAGCTGAGTGGATACACTTTACACTTTTTGGGATAATATTGCCCACTATAACACTGAAAGTGCACACTTTTAGGGGGCTTATGAACTCAGCACCTAAGTACTAGACCCGTCGGAGGATTGGGTGGACTGGGAAGTTGAGTGGGAGCTGGGCGTGGCCATCTCCCGAACACCGACTGTCTTCACCTAAACCCAAACCCTGAACCCTAACACGGTTTGGGGTTTAGGGTAGTTCAGGGAGCCTAGAGGTCTGGGACTTTTAGAAGTTTGGGCTTTCGCCGGAGCCCAGACCCACCAAGAGCTGAAGAGGCTTCGAAAAGGAAGGAGGCACCTCAAATGCTCCTGACCTAAACCCTAGAACCCTAAAGCCCCCCCAAAACCCTAAACCCCTAAACCCCTCAAATCCTAAATCCTAAACCCATGACTGCCCCAAGTCATGAACCTGCCTGAGAGACAGCGTCTGATCCCGAAGCAACCTCGAACCTTAGACCCTGAACGCAAAACCCTCACCCCTAGAGTAACCAATGTGCCTTTCAAAATGGTGCATGGCCCTCGAAAACGGCTACATTTGCCGCACAACTCCATTAATTATAGTTGTTCTAAGCCTTCTAGTAACATAAACTTATAGAACCTTTGTGGTAGCTTTTGTCCTCAACCCTTGAAAACCTAAAACCCTGAACCCGGGGTCCGATGCCCCGGAAGCTTTCAGGTCAGCCTGAGCCGGAGCATCACCAGCGGAGATGTCGATCCGGCCACCCGTCTGCGCTGCACCTTTATATCATGGTACATACACACGTACGTACGTATGTATGTATGTATGTATGTACGTATGTACGTATGTACGTATGTATGTGTATGTATGTATGTATGTATGTATGTATATATGTAGTGGGAGCCTTGGGGTGGAAGGGTGGGACCAGGGATGGGAGTGGGGGCCATTGGAATAAGCAGAAGTTTCACACACATCATTGTATGTACTGTGCATGTCACTACAAGGCATGTTACTTGGACCCTCATGGTATCCAAGCGCCAACGCAACCGCCTTAATACCGAAAGCACGACTACCGGTAAGGATGCCAGTAATGCTTAACAATCAACGCGCATACAGGGCCCATGCAATCACCACTATTGCATGTCCATGTTTTCTCCAACCAACCGTAACCTAGCGAACATGCTGTTCAGTTGCTTGGAAAGTTGTGTGGCCACACAAAACCCGAGCAGAGTGACGATGCTTTGTGTTTGCAGCACGGGGTCACGAGGTCACGAGAACTCCGCACAAGTAAAGCGCCAATTGTACATAAAGTGCCGACTGCTGGAAGGAGTTCACGGTAGCAGCTGAGGCACTTGGAGAGTGAGCGATTGCTCTGATAGGTGGCCAGTGAACGATCAGCTTGAAAACATGTAACCCTAGACGTGGCAATCTCATTCCGACACGTCGCAGTCTGAAGTAGTAGTAGGTAGTGGTAGTAGTAGTAGTAGTAGTAGTAGTAGTAGTAGTAGTAGTAGTAGTAGTAGTAGTAGTAGTAGTAGTAGTAGTAGTAGTAGTAGTAGTAGTAGTAGTAGTAGTATCCGAAAAATACTGGTTCGTCGTACTAGAAATGGTCCAACAGTACTAGCAGTAGCGGTTGCAGCAGCAGCAGCAGCAGCAGCAGGAGGAGTTGTTGCTGCTGTTGTTGTTCGCTAGCAGCAGCAGTAGCAGTGGCTGTAGCAGGAGCAGTCGCAGTAACAGTTGCGGTAGGAGTAAGAGCAGGATCAGGAGTGGGAGCCAGCAGCATTAGCAGACGCAGGGCCGAAGTATCAGTTCGGGCAGGGTATATCCTGAGAAATGAATGGTACAGCGAGAATTATTATTGCCAAGGTAGTGGTTGTAGCAATGATGGCGCTTGGGTTTCTTAATGTTTTGGTATCAAGGCTGGAGCAACAGCAATAGAACACGTTTGATGCTGGGTAGGCAGTCCATCTTCTATCAGACGATTGAACAGTGTAGAACTCGCAGCGCCCCGTTAAGCTGCTCTTTGAAATGGCAAGGTGATTTTATGGGAGGCTTTGCGCGAGAGCGTGGACCCAATCTCGGCAGCCGTGGATCACCTTCAGGCTTTGGTCTCTCCCCTCCCCTTAGGGTTGAGGTTCCCTTATACCCCCCCTTATAACCAAAACGGGCACCCTTTTTGTTCCTAGGTTACTCTTACGTCTAGTTGGTTTCGAGGTAGCGAGTAGGAGGTTGCAGCGCAGTTCCTAGAACTTGGTCCGAGCTTCCATAGAGCGTAAGCAAGTGCCGTGTTATCCGTTCTTGGCAGGTGCAGGTCTTTCTGCCGGCTGCTTTTGTTGACGAGGAGGATTCTCGTGGTCAAAATGCGCGGAGTTTGTGTGCGATCTCGGCATGCAGAGAGCTTTGCAGTTCAATATTCAGAGTCTGCAATACAGAAGGTTTAGAAGTTCTAGGTTTCAGCTCGTTGTGTGGGTTGTCTTTTGAGCGGGATTGACAATTCAGGTGCGACGTTGGAGCTCGTTGCGTTCTGGGCTGCGGGAGCTGTTGTTTTCCACGCGGCGATGCAGAGTTCAGGAGGTATCCCCGTGGTCGCTGGTTGTGTGAATGACCGAGTTCTTAGAGGTCTTTGGAAAACCCCCCGTTTCGGGACCCTCCAACAACAAAGCGAAATTCAAGTGGCGATCCTTGCAGCATTGTGCGAAACCGGGAACTCATATCGTCCTATGTTAAGTTGTAAGCTCCTAAGGCCCCACCGCTTGTAATAATCCTTCTATCGGCCTTCATCGTAGAGCAGCTTCGTAGTAATCCTCATAGTCGCCCTTCTGCTGATGCCCCAAACGCTCCGGACTCCGAACCCTAAACCCTAAACTTGGGAAGCTGTCCGAAGTCCCCTAAACCCTAAGCCCTAAACGACCCGGGAGCAGGCATCAAAAAGGAGCTCAAAAAAAAAAAAACTTAAAATTCCCTAAAAACTCGAAGGAGCCGCCCCGGGATTACCGCCCGTCTCGGCGCTTTGTTGATCCTCCTTGCTGGGCCTTTTCCAGCCTGCAGGCTCGGGTAAGCCGCCAAAGTAGTTCACATTTCTTCGGGGTTCATATTTAGAATCCTATAAGGTAATCCCAGAAAGGAGCTACTTTGGGGCCTATGGGTAGTTTGTAGGATCTATAGAGGGTCTAGGGGTAAGGTTGCACAATGGTTCTGAAAACTTTGAAGGTATTCTATATGGGTGCGAGCATGTTATAAAGGTGTTGAGTGGAGTTTAGGGTCATGTGACTTAATAAGTCGGTTCCAGTACTGGTATCAATACGCGAACTAGGGCTATACCGGTTAAAATACCCCTAGCCTGGCTCATTCATCCTCGAAGTACCCCAGGCTCATAGCCAAACACGCCAGCCTCAAGACGTCTAATGTTCATTTTCCGTGGAAACCCGCATGATTCACACTCGCAGTTGCGTCTAGGAGGACATCCTGCTGAATCCACATTCTGATGGGCTTGGGCCTCTAGACTCCCGTCTAGAATTCGTTTTAGTTTTAGGGAGCTTCTCTGACGAACTTTGAATATGAACTGGAGCACTGCTTGTTTTTTTGAGTCGACCCTGCAACGAAGCGGTTGTTTCGGGAACCTCAGCTACTTCAAGCACAGCTGTCATGAAGGGCACACCATTTCTGGCCCCCGCTCGGTCCTCGTATGTTTAACGGTTTAGGGTGTAGGGTTTGATATCAGACTATGATATCCCCCCACTGAAGCCCTGACCTTAGAGGCTTCTGTGAGCGAAGTTTGCTCAATGGTTTGAGGCCCGGCGCTTCGTAGACTTAGAGTGATATAGTCTAGGAATAGCTCGTGATCCTGTTCCCTGATATTCCTTCCATAAATATGTATTCTGATATCCACCAGGCCTATTCAAGGCCCCTATATCACGTGTAGGGGTGTTCTTTTCAGCACTTCTGCTGCACTTACTTTGCCTCCACTGTCCACAAGCTCTGGACAGCACTCCACATGATCCACAGTTAAGGGTTGACCACTTAGAAAGCCGATGAAACTGGTGCGATCCAGATCATAAGCACGTCCAAGAACTTACATCCTAGGTGGTATAAGCTTCTCAACCTGCCGACGTCCTTCACACTAGGTCCCCGGAGCCTCTGTGTGCAGGTGCAGAAGCGCATTGAGGAGATCGATGTGAAGCAACGGGAGGCTAGCCGGTGGGTGATTCGGGTTGGGTGTTTGGGGCTCAGGTGGCTTTCCTGAGCTACTCATCACTTACAGCGGTCCAGGCGTCACACGCTTTAAAAACAGGTCCCAATAGGATGTGGTAAGAAGTAGTAGTAGCCCTGTAAGTCCCCAAAAAGCCATAGTATCATCAATATACTTCAACACTCAATGAGGGTTCTTCATGCATGCTGCAGTCCCTTGAGCTCGCTGGGGCAGCTTTCTACAGGCATCCTATAGGAGCCTACGACGGCCTTATAGCCCTGGACCTTGAGTTAAAATGACCCAGCCTAACGTCCCAAAACCCTAAAGCCCTAAACCATAAATCCCTGAAGCCTTTCAGTCCCCAAGTACTACAACCTCAAGAGCAGCTAACATCCTAAACCAGATTCCTCAAACCCGAAGACCTAAACTGTACACCAAAGGGCTCAGCCGAGAGGTCCCATGTTCAGGGTCTAAAGATTTACTTTAAAGGGAGTCAAGGTTTAGGGATTTGGGGCTTAGGGGTTCAGGGTGTACGGTCTGGGGTTCAGTTGTCTGGTGGTGAGGCCGTTTCGAAGATGGGGGCTTGCTTTTTTACGGGCTTGAACGGCAGAACCCTCACCCACCAAAGCTTGACTCACACCAGAATCGTGACTTCCTGAACCAGAAGCCTGAATGAAGCCTTGATGCAGAGAGGATGTTTGGTGATCGGCGCCAACCCTCAGCCCTAAGCCCTAAACCCCCCACCCCAAAGCTGGTAGATGCCCTACACCTTGAATGCCGAACCCAAAGCCCCAAACCTGAACCCCAAGACCCCTAAGCCCTGAACCCTGCCTCCACCCCTAAATCCTACAACCCTAAACCCTGAACCCTAATCCCTAAGCCCTCAACCCTAAACCCTAAACTTTGCATCCTCGTTAGACAAAATTCGTGCAGGTTCGAGAGGCCCAGAAGGAGCTGACCGACCAGAAGAAGCAGCTGGCTTCGGCTGAGGAGGCCTCACAGGTTGTGGATTTTGGGGATTAGGGTTCTTGAAGGGTAGTGGGGTTTAGGATTTGAAGTTCCCTTAAAGTGGTGATTACATGGGGTTATTGCAAGAGCTTCTGAAACGGGTAGTATAAAGGCCTGAATCATCATTCCGTGGGGCGCCTCGCTACTGCATTCATACGTGAAAACCGTCAAGGCCCAAATAAAGGAGGGACCCTTAACGGGGACCCCTACCCTATAATGGGCTATATAATGGGTATATAGTAGCTATATTAAGGGTATATACAGTCTTGGTTCCGTATTTCGGATGTAAGTGGGTTCGGGACCGGGATCAGGGGTTCAAGATCTTGTCTAGCCTCCCCTAAACCGTAAACCCTACTGTGAAGCTCTCTCTCTCCGGCGTTGTGGTTTCGCCCTCCGCTTTTTTGGGGTGGTTAAGGATTTAGGGTTCTCCGAAACTAAACCCTGGACTGCAACCGTCAACCGTCTAGCCAAACTCAAAGTCACACTCCCTTCACCTGCCCTCTGGAGACATCCGGTTCTCAACTACAATATTAAGGACAACTAAAAGGGAATCCGTATTTGTAGGCTGTAACCGTCCTGCCCAAAGCTCGATATGTTAGGACCCTGTACACGTCCCTGAACTTGCTGAGGCCCGAAAACCGTAACAGTCTGGCTTTAAAAGCTGGGAACGGGGCCTTCGTTATGTTGCTCTACAACTGGGCAGTTATACATCTTACTTAGGGGTTCACAAGGGAGTACTTCATATCATCGTAATTTATGTGGATGCAATGAATTGTAATATAAATACCTCGAATTAAACGATTTATTCTTTGTAACCAATCTTTATACTGTCTGTCCTTAATGTATGCTCCATTGCTTCTACTAACTGCTCAGACGCTTCGGGTAAATCTGACTGAAGCCTGGCCAGGGTCACGAAGGCTAGCCGCAGGTGCTGAGAATTTTTGTTAGTTTCGGGTTCCAGCTGCAAAGCCGACCCTAAACCCTCCAACCTCGAACCATAAACCTCCAACTCCAACCCTGAACCCTCCAACCCTCGAGCTGGATCTGCAAAGAGCCTCTGCAGTTCGCTGCAAGGAGCTGGAGCAAGCGGAGCAGCGAGGCAGAAAGCTTCGGGAGACCTTAGTGGAGGCCGAGGCCAGTGAGGACCTCCAGGCAGCAGTGGCTGTGTTCCTGGATAGTCTTTGTGTGTGTTTTTTGTGTAGAGTGTGTGTGTGTGTGGGGGAGACAAGCATGTGATCTGATCGCATGTCACGCTAGGCCATACCATGCCATGATGTGCCACGCTAAGTGTCGATCTGTTGTGTTATGATGTTCATGTGCATATGCATGACTGCCATGATGAGGGTGACGATGGTGGTGGTGATGATGAAGACGCTGGCGAGCATGGGGCATAAGTATGATGGCAATAGTCAACCGTATCAGGTGGCGCAGCAGGGCAGGGAACGCGATGTTGATATAGGGCTGGCTGTATGTGGCTATCGCGCTTTATCCTTATGTTCACATTTACATGTGTACACAGACATCTTCTCGCACAAGCACACATGTGTTGTTGCGTCTGCCTCAGCTTCGGTGTTTGGGCGTTGGGTCTGCATGCAGTTTGGAGCACAGAGACTGAGCAGACTTGGTCATTGGTTAAAGCGAAATGGGTTTCGACTAAACCATACACCTTCTACCCTGAACCTCAAACCGAGGGCTCGCAAGGTGAGCAGCTGCTAGGTGCGGTTCGATACTCTGCAGGGTTTAGAGTTGAGGACTTAGGGGCTGTCTAGTTCGTTACATCCTGAAACCAACGGCCTTCCACTTAACACAGAGGCACGCCGGGAGTCCTCACACTCAGGCTCTGGACCCTTTGCGATGCCATGCGAAGCAGGGCAAAATCGTACAAAAGGGTGTAGGTTTAGGGTTTAGGGTACTGTCACGTTGCAACACAGGTTCAAGTCTCGGCGAAACCAACACCACACCCAGTTGGCATAAGTTCTGGGCATTCCTGTAGACCTGTTTAATTCCATGTGGAGTCCTCATAGACCTCGCAAACACCGCACAAAAAGTTGAGAACAAAGTGCAAACATAACCCTAGGCCCTAAACCCCAAGCCCTAAAGCATACAACCCACCTAACCTCATTATAAAAAAGAATGAATGAGCTGCGACACCAGGCCTCCGAAGAGCGTTTGCGTGCTCAGGCATCCGGGCTGGATGTTTCGATCCGGCAACCTTCTCACTTTACCGGGGTATACAGTCGTTACATATGTATATATATATATGTATATATATATATATGTTATATGAGATACACGTATCTCTATATATATATATATATATATATATATACCATACATATATATATATATATATATATATATATATGTGCATATGCATGGGTTCCTTATTATGTTTTCGTTGTAAAATTCCTGAAACAGGCGTCTTCCACGTTTTGTTCCGTTCTGGATTGTTGCAGGTACTGGGGTTTCCTTGTAGGGTTCCGTCTCAGCACAACGGAAGTGTCCATGTGAATGGAAACGAGAACGGAAGAGGAACGCTCCGCGTTCCGCCTAACCCTAAACCCTAAACCCGAAACCCTAAACCCGAAACCCTAAGGCCCTAAACCGTTTAGGCGGATTTGGGTTTCAGCTCGAGCCCTAAACCCTAAACCCTAAGAGCGTTTAAACTTCAACAGCGAGGCATGGCTCGAGTCCACAAGCCTCCAGTAGTGACCTCTCATAGTCATAGTAGGATTCAGGGTTCAGGATTGAGGGTTTGGGGATCTAGGACTCAGGGTTTAGGCTTCGGGTTTTTGAGGTTTTACCCATTAGATTAAAGTATCATTTCGATACTCCCTATAGGAACCCTTGTAGTAAGCACACAGTGGCCCTGAAAGGCTGTGGAAACTCGAAGTTTCGGACACTGGCACTTGTGAAGCTGAGCAGCTGCACAGCAGGTGCTACCCAGAGACTCCAATATCCCTTAATTAAGGAATATTCCTTAAATTATAGTAGGATCCCTAATATGATTTAAGGAATATTCCTTAATTAAGGGATATTGGAGTCTCTGGGTACTTAAGCCAAACTCCTTCATGTTACGGGTTTTGGGGCGCGGCACAAGAATTGGTTTAGGATTTACGGCGCATTTAAGCTTCAGGTTTTGTCATATTGTTGGCCCCATAGTCGCTGGTGTGCCACAGCGGCTTTTCGGAGATGCTTGACAGCACTTAGGATTCAGCAGGTTTTGTGACCCGTGTTGAGGGTGTACATCGCTTCACTACGTGGGACAGCCAACGTGATCTGGTTTATTAATTATCAGGTTGTCGTGTTGCTCCTGTTGCTGCCGCGACTACGAGAACAGCACCACCTGTTGTTGATGCCACCACAAGCACCTCAAACCCTACATCAACAGACTTAAAATCAATCTGAAAGCCGGAGCCTATACTTACTACGCTAAACCCTAACCGGAGGGTGATACATTACCCCTTTGTTAGGGTACCTGGTTTTATGGTGAGGTTCTGTATGTTTGGATAATCTAGGACCCTAAAACCCAAAACTCCCAAAGCCCTAAACCCCTGAAGCCCAAAGCCTTAAACCCTAAGCCCCAAAAGCCCTAAACCCTAAAACCCTAAATCATAAACCGTAATATAGCCCCAAACCTAAAGCCCACAGCTGCAGTAGGAGTAGCAGTACGCAGGTGGCGACCAGTGCGGCCTCCCAGGCCCGTCTAAGAAGGGAGAGCCAGGGGCTGTGGGATTTGTTTAGTAGTTTAGGGGTTTAGGGTTTAGGGGAAAGCTCGAGGTTTAGGGTTAAGGGGTTTAGGGTTTTTGTGAGGTTCAGGGTTTAGGATTTAATCTAGCTGGGGGAGTGGAGCGTATAGGGCATTTGGAGAGTTTACCGTTTGGGGCTTGTGGAAGATTTTTTCGTCTTTCGCACAGCCTGACAGAAGTGATCGAGAGGTCGCATAATATACCCCCCCCCCAAAAAAAATAAATATGTATATATATATATATATATATATATTTATATTTATATTTATCTTATTAAGGCCCCTTTATTATAGAACCCTACTTTAGACCCCTTTATAAGGATCCCTTCTGATTATCAAGGTCACTATATTACGTCCTGGCGCCTTGTCGAGTCCTGGCTTCCTGTCAGTGCGCGCATGGCAGTTGCACAAATGCGGATGTATGCGATATACCTAGAGACTCCAACATTCCTTGATTAAGGAATATACCTTAAATCGTAGTAGGATCTCTAATGTGATTGAAGGTATAAGTATTCCTTAATTAAGGGATTTCGGAGTCTCTGGGTAGAGTACTCCATTTTTCCTTTATTGTCTAGTAGATGTACTTATTATATGTGACACATATATATATATATATATCACATGCCAGACACATGTTGAATTCTACATCTCAGCCGCTGGCTAAGCGGCACAGTACTCCGAAGCCTTCGGGTTCCTACGATCCTCAGCTCTGCCAAACGGCAGGCCGTGCTGGCTCGAGAGGCACAGGGTACTAAATGGTGTAAATTTTAGGATTGAGGAGGTTTGGAGTCTAGAGTTCATAAACCCTAACCCTAAACCCCTAAACCCTAAACCCCTAAACCCTAAACCTCTACGCCCTAAACCCCTAAACCCTAAACCCCTAAACCCTAAACCCCTCAACCCTAAACCCTAAACCTGAAGCCCTACACCCTAAACCCTAACTCCCTGTAGTTTGCTGGCTGCGGGTCTGGCTATCCGGGCAGGACAGCATGATCGCACACATGTTGAAAGTAGAACGTGCTGCTCCGTTTAAGTATCCAGTCTGTTGCACAGTGTAATCTACTAAGGCAAGTGTTCTAACACCCTAAAACCAAACAACAGGGCAACATGATGTAGCGTGCACGAATCCCCCACCCCACACCTGCTCCTTCTCGCCAGGCGATCTTGCAATGTTAAACCCGGTTCCCAGATTTCGATGCACAGCTTTTCCCTTGGTTGGGGGTTCAGGGTTCAGGGTTCGGAGTGTAGGTTGGGTATTATATATATATATATATATAGATATATATATATATATATATATATTATTATATATATATATATATATATATATATTATATTTATACATACATACATATATGTGGTTGCGCCATGGGGAGCATCCCGCTCTCCCTGTGGGTGTTCCTCCACCCTCCTCCGTGGCACGGCTTGGGCTTTGACCCCCCCTGTGGAATGGTTGAGTTTAGGCCTTTTCCCGGTGGTTCTGCGCGTGGTCATCCCCATCCCCGTCCCTCCCTGTGGAACGGCTTGGCCTTCACATTGGGAGTTAAGTTTTGAGGCTGACAGCACACAACCGTATACAAGGAGATAAGATTTTCGCTGTTTACTGTAGGACCCGTTTCTTGCCTTACACCCTAAACCCATCATGGTAGTCATGAAGTAAGCGACCCTGACCAAAAATACAGTCTCTCTGCACTCTGGCGGTGATTGCTGGCTCTTCCAAGGACTATATCACCGAACAGTATGGGGCCCTAAGCCCTGAAAACCCAAACCCCGAAACCCTAAACCCCTAAACCGCAACCGCTATAACCCGCATCGCACATAAAGAGGCCTAGTGGTAAAGTAGGTAACCTTTAACCTTTTTTGGGTAGTATAGCCCCTATGTAATCCCTATATAACCAGAAAGGTTAACCGTTAGTTCCCCATGATACCCGACAAGTAGGTATAAACCCTAAACCCTAAACCCCTGAAACCCCAAACCCCTCATAGAGCCCTTGTAAGTCCCTTAGGAACCCTTATAGATCCCTTTAAAAGGAGGCCCCAACCACCGGTCCAGCCACTTCCTGGCACAGCTTCCGGAGGTGGAGCAGACACGTGCGCGTCGCGACGAGTTGGAGCGCACCAGCAAGGCGGCCGTCTCGGAGCTACTATCGGGTTCCCTTTAGGGCTCTATAAGGGATCTATAGTAGGGTTCTATAATATAGGGGGCCTTAATAATTACCTGTACTATTTTGGGGGTTCGTTAATATGATTACAGTATTATGGGCCCCAAAACCCTATTCTAATTATTAAGGCCCCTATATTCTGGAACCCTACTATTATAGACCCCTTTAAGGATCCCTCTAAAGTTTAGATTCTAAAGGGAACACCCTATTGTAAGTATTAAGGCTCCTATATTAGGCTTTGAGCTTCAGGTTTGAGGCTTTGGGAGGCTGGCCCCCGCTCTCTTCTAGGAATTAGGGTTTGGGCTTTAAACTTTGAAGGCCTGGGGTTTTAGGGCTGCTAGGGCTTCAGGTTTAGAGTTCCGGGCTGAAGATTTAGAGTTTGTCGGAATGCTTTTCTGAGCCTGCTTTCTCAATGTTTCATGTGGTTTCCGGGTTTCATCTTATAATGTGGTTTCATACTTCCTGCGAGATCCCCAACAACTTTTGGGAGGTCAGGATCAAGGGATTGGGCTGAGCTGTTCCAGGCTTTGGATCACTGGCCCGAAGATGTCAATCTTCTGGCAGAGTCTATAGATGAAGGGTGTCGGTTCAGAGAGCCTGAAAGTTTCTGCCAAAAAGATTTATATATGTGTATAATATGTGGTATATACAATGTGTGGAAAACGTCGGGAAAGATAATGTGATGTCGAATGCACATGGATAGTGGCTTCGGGCTCCTGATATAGCTGCCTTTGTTGCGCAACCCTCGGAAGCACAACTGATGTTCAAGGAGTTTCCTTTGAAGAATAAACCCGAAGCCCTAAATCGCGAACCCGAAGCCCTTAATCCTGAAGATGGAGGGGCCTTGAAAAGTAAAGGAAACAGTTCCGGGAACGCCAAGCAGCTGCTGCACTTAAACCCTGAACCCAGATTTACCAAGCACCCTATCCCCAAACCCTCAAACGATGGACTAGCTCTCAGAAACAGGAGGAGGCCAGACGGCGAGAGAAACTGGAGAAGGCCCTGAGGGTTTGCAACGCCTTTGGGTTTCATTTTACAGGTTCGGCCTCAAACTACCATCGACTGTTTCCTCGGGTAGGTGCCTTGTGAAGTCTCTACGATGGATGTATGTGGGCACGTATGTACGATGTATGTATGTGTATATGCATATACCTATGTCTGTGCATATATATATATACATATATATATATATATATATGTATGTGGGTGTATACATGTGTATATATACATAGATGTATTTATACACCTACCTTCTGAATCAATATACATATGTATATAGCCAGACATACATATGTATATATATATATACACACACATCTATAATACATACATATATATATACATATATCAACAGAATCCCTTTGATGTTGAAGGCTTCAGGTTCTCAGGTTGACTTGCGTGAGTCTTGAAGGTTCGGGCTCCAAAGAGCCTGGGGCTCCAAGCATTCTGATCCGTTCCGCGTGAGCGTGCAGTTGTTGCAGATAGAAGTGCGAAGTTTAGGGTTTAGGGTGCCAAACATCAATGCTACGGAATATGCTGTAAATACACGAAAGAATGCCACAAACACTGCGAACGAAACAATCGGCGACACGCAACAGAGCAGGCTGGCCGTGAGAAAGGGCCATTTTGAATGAATCGTTCCATGGCACTACTTGTATGTCCGAATTAAAACGGCTTTCTCCTATCACTTGGTATGCACCTGAATACACATATAGACCTATATGTCTATACAACTCTTTTTGTGTGTATATAGAGGTAGATGTATATGACAATACCTGTTCGTTCAAACCATTAGAAGAGATTTCTCGGCTCGGTTTAACGTTGGCAAGGCAATGAAACTAAAGAGCAAGTGCGGCTTGGTGTTTCTACCAACAGAGAACGAACTGAAACCAGATTCCTTCTTGAAATTAGTCTGGACAACCTGCGCCTGATTTTCGTGATCCTCCAATGCATATTTCATGTTACGATCTCTGTCATATACCTTTTGTGGCAGTACATCAGAAATTGCGGGGTAATGGATTTAGCCTACACAATAAGGGCTCGTTTCCAACAAACCTATGTCACTTCCTGGCTTTAGTTCTGCTGCAGCCGCTCCATCGAAGTAAGCGAAAAGTAAACGCTCTCGACTTAATATAGGGGCTTAAATTGTTACCAATACTATTTTAGGGGATCCTTATTATAATTGTAGTAGACTATACACCAAAACCTCATTCCAATTGTTAAGGCCCGTATATTAGGGCGCAGCAGGACCACCTTTCCCGGACGTCTACGTTCGTCGTAGACGTTCAAGCCATCAGCTTGCTTGTGCACCGATGCTCCCTTGAGGCTTGCCCTTGGTTTCTTGGCTTTGCTATGAATGACAGTTCAAATTGCGTATCCAGTATCCAACTGAAAGGTTTCTTTCATACAAGCAAAAGGTGACACAGCTAGCAACAAGCAGCTATCAGGTGACAAGTGCACTGCATGATTGTGGGCGCGGTGGTCAACCTCTACCCAAGTCAGCGGAATGCGAGTGGGTAGTGCAAGCTCCTTTGTAGCCCTCTTGCTAAATCCCTCCAACCCTAAACCCGAAACTGAGAAATTCCCTTTGAGGAACGACGCCCAAAATCCAACCCTCCGTGCAGGACACCGAAGCCAAGCCAAGAGTCTAGATCATAAACTCGGGGTCTCACCATAAGCTCGGGGTCTCACCTACTACCTTGAAGCACAAGAACCCAGTCGTGGATAGGGTACCTGTTGTGCAGGTCCATACTAAGACCCTACAGCGAAGTTTGTGCTGTGGAAACAACATCTACGAAGCTCTACTTGGAGGATCATGGGACTTAGTAAGTAAGCCTATAAGTACCTTGATTGGGGGTTAGAAGTAGTTATAAGTATAGTTACCCTAATTATATCACTAGTTATTAAGTCCCATGATCCTTTAAGTACTCCCTGTAAGCACATGACAGGACATCGATGCAGTTCGGCAGCGGCCGAAACGAGACGAGGTGACCATGGGCACTAGGGCCAGGGTCTTGTCTCGGGATTAGGGTTAATATAGGGGCCTTAATAATTAGAATAGGGTTCCCTACTATAGGGGTTCCTTTTAAAGGGATCCTTACAGGGTCTGTGAGGGATCTATAGCAGGGTTCCATAAGACAGGGGCCTTAGCAATTAGAATATGGTTTTGGAGCCCATTATACTAGACTTATAATCAGGAAACCTCCAAATTGTTTATAGGTAATTATTTAACCCCTGTGTTAGGGGTGGGGGCTTAGAGATTAGGGTTCAGATTTAAGGCATAGTCTTGAGAGCTTGGGGTCGACCATGCCTCTAGAGTCCCGTAAAGTATACTAGTATAGCAGCCACTAGTCGTATACCCTCAACATCGAGATATATATTGATATATATATCTACCTACCCAGCTACCTATCTATCTATCCCTACCTTTTCTGTCTATCTATGTACGCCTATACACACACTTACATACACATAGAGTTCATATAGAATCATACACCCCGAACCGATTCTAACTATTAAGGCCGTTCTATTGCTCCCGAAGCTTGACTTTCGAGGTGAGAGCAGGTGACCTCCTTCGAGGGGTGGGGGCTTCTGAGATTCAGAGTTAGGGGTTTCGGGTTCGATCCATAAGGGTTGGTACTATAGGGGCCTAACTGACTACCGATACTATTTTGGGGGTTCCTTATTATAATTATGGTATAATGATCGGGTTCTAGGGGCTTAAGTAATAACCTATACCTTTATTTTGAGGGGCGGGAGATCCTTAATATAGTTATAGTATAATAGGCCCAAAAACCCTATTCCAGTCATTAAGGCCCCTACTATCGTATGGCAAGCTTGCAGGGCTGTTTCAACTGTTTTAATGCGTTGAGGTTGTGTCAGGCTAGTAGATTTTGTGATGTTGGTGTAGGGCTGCCTGGATGTGGAGCCTTGCAGTAGCCGACTAGAGGCCAGACGCTGTATCGCAACTTGTAAGGCATAGAACTTAACCAGGGACCTGGTACTGTAGAACTCTGCATCAACCAAAGCTCCCTGCCTCAAGCGCGACAACCCTTAAAGATCCTTTTTGCCCCACACCTCTACATCCCCAAAAAACCTGAACTCTGCATGCTATGACAAATACCACCCAAAAACACAAAACACACACACACACACACACACACACACACCCTAAACCCTAAACCCTAAACCCCTAAACCCTAAGCTCTCAGCCCAATTGCGAGGATGGCCGGGCGACGGCCCCAGAGCTGGCAGCTCTGCGAGTGGCGCAGAAGAAGGCTGACACTTGAAGCTCAGGCTTTAGGGTTTAGGGGTTTAGGGGTTTAGGGTTTAGGGTTTAGGAGAGGGTTGACCGCTAATTGGCGGTAAAGGATTAAGGTTTCAGGATTTTGGGGCGAAGCATACAAGAGCTCAGGGTTTGGGGTGGGGTTCTTGTCGAGGTCCTGTGGAGTTTTCCGTGCAAGTGCATGCTGACATGACGTTAAGAAGGGATCAAGGGTTCGGGTCTCCCAAGCTCAGGACGCAGGGAGTGACGCTGACACCAGCAAGGTACAGTTTCCGTATACCGATGCCTTCTCTTGCAACCAGGGTTTCTGTAGTTGTTGCTTGGTTTCAGGGCTGGTTGTTGGTTGCTTTTCCGGGTCTAGAACGGCGGTGGGGAGCGTTTTGATGAAATAGGGTCACGGGGCGAGAGTATGAAGGTCGTGACAGAGACATCTTCTGCCGCACTTCTGCTGCCCCCGTGCTTGTCATGACGTTCATGGGAACGTATACCAATCTGTTATCATCTACGATGATGAAGATAGCTTGAATCCTCCATCACCGGTCCCTTCCCGGGTCCGGTATGAAGGATGCTCCTACCAAAGATTATGTAGATCAGGATCCCGGTTTTTGAATCTCCCATAAAGAACCCTAAACAGTGGGATTCCATTCGAACTGAGGGCGCCCTGATCTGAAGAAACGCCCACGTGAACTTTCGATCAACCCTCAGCCCTACCCATAGGCTCCAGAGTAGTTCCTTTTTGGGGTTCATAGTTCGAATCCTAGATTGCAAACCCAGAAACTAAACCCGAAACCCGAACTCCTATGGAGCCGATGGGTAAGCCTAAATCCCCCAAAGGGTCCAAGTAACCGTATAGTATATGCTTTAGGGTACCAAGTACCCACTATAATGGTACTTCCATGGATGATATAAATCCTGCATTACCTTAAGGGCCCTAAACTATGGGAATTATGGTAAATTCCTTATTATGGGTAATGCAGGATTTATATCATCAACCGTTGGACCCTTTGGGCCCTAAGTCGCAGGGCGCTCAGGAGCTGTACGCGCTCCAGGTGTCAGGCTCGGGACTTGGCGAGGGCTTCGGGTTTAGAGATTGGGTAACGTAGGAACCTGACTAAGAAACCTTGGGCCTTGATTAGGGTTCTAATAAGGGTTCCTAAAAAGGGTACTATAAGGGTTTCGCGGGGTGTGATGTAGGAACCTGATCAAGAAACCCTGGGCCTATAACCCCAAAATAGTAGGATGCACATAAGGCACCCTAATGAGAGCCCAAGATTTCGTAATCAGGTTCCTACATTTATCCTATCGCCGAAACCCGAACCTTTGAGCCTTAAAGCACCATAAGAGGTGTACAGCCCGCCGAAACCCCTAACTCTTCCTGCATCGGTTGCTTATCTTGTCTGCTGCCGAAACAGATCAGACTGACTTCACTTTGCATTGTTTGATGTGAGACTTTTATCCTTATAAAACTGAAAGCGAGCAGGCGTTTGGACTTATGCACTCAGCAACTAAGAGTAGTTACTATAGGGCCTAGATAATTGTCAAGATTATTGTGGTGGGTTCCTGATTATGACTACAGTAGATTATACCTCGAAACACTATTTTAGTCATTAAGGATCACTAAGGCCCCTATATTACGTCAGGCAGTTGCATGGTTCGATCAATTCTCGGAGTTCCTGCATTGGGACCCGCGGGCATCACACCTGGACGTAGACTGCTTCAAGCCTGCTAGCCCCAGGCGCTCTGCATCCAATGTTGCAAAGATGATATATAGAATTACATATATATATATATATATATATATATATATATATTTAACAGACAACAAAAGATACAATATTCATAAGTCCAGTAACACTGGTAGTAATCATCCTGAGCTTCCTATTAACAATAGTAGTAATACAAGCGGGAATACTGGTTAGTAATAGTAAGACTACTGATCAACAATCACAATAATGGTAATAAAAAGATACGTCTTAATGATAATGGTATTGGAAATGATGATGATGCTCATGATGATGGTAACTTGAAAAGTAGCAAAAATGATGGCAGTAATGTTAGTGGCAATAGTCGTAGTGACAATATTATTTACATATATATATATATATACGTAGACATACACAGACATATGTACATAACATATACATATATGTAGACCCAGATGAGCACGTACCTTCAAACGATATCAGGAGGGGCCGATGGCCTGCTGCCGCTGCCTTCGGTGGCACCTGCGATGCAGACTGTGTCTCAGAAGTCCATGGAAGACTGCCTGAACAAGTGCCCCCCCCCCACCACCTCTTGGTGCTAAGGGCTGATGGTCATGGGTTGTAAGGGCTTAAGGGTTTAGGGTTTGGGGCTTAGGGTTTTAGCGTGTAGGGTTTAAGGATTTAGGGTTTCGGGCCTGTCCTGCCTAGCCGACGAATGACACTCGCAAGTATGTCCGACGACCTGAGAAAGCAGAATGTTCAGAAGCCCTAAATACGTACTAAGCCTTAAACTCATAGATATGCAGGCCTTCTTTAAAGGCACTGCAACAAAGATGTAGAATTGCTCAGGCTGTGGGTTGAACTTTCAGACTTAGGGGTTTTCGAAGACGAAAACCCAAAACCCTGAAAGGATAGCCTAAAGCCCGAAACGCTCAAGAGGGACACTATACCGTTATAGGATTCTTGAGTAGACTCGACAGCTTGCATATGTGGCCTCGTTTGCACCGATGTGGCGGTACATGCTAAGCCAAGACGCTAAACAGCAAGCCCTAAATCCTAGAATCCCAAAAACCTAGACCCTAGCGCCCCAAATTCAAAATCCACCTAAACACAAGCCTTAACTGAACTTTGACTATAACTCTACAACCTGCGGAGGTACGCAGCTTTGCGCAAGGGGCTACTCCAGGAGCTCAGCCAGACCCGGCTCTCCAAGTTACTTCGTGCGCAGGAAGCTGTCCGTTTTGGATTTAGGGCTTTGGGGTTTTAGGGCTTACGGGTTTGGGGTTTAGGGGTTCAGGGTTTAGGGGTTTAGGGGTTCCGGGTTTGGGGGTTGTGAGTCTAGGGGCTGAGGGCTTCGAGGGCAGGAAGTTCTCCGTTTGGATCTGTCTACCTGCTTTGGTTCTTTAGTTGTAAATGTTTAGCAGTTTAGCGCGTAGAGATGCGTAGAGAGCTAGGTTTCAGAAGGGTTGTTGTGCATGATGGGTGTGGGGCTTATGAGGGCTTAGGCTGCATAGTTTGATTTAGTATTTGTCTGTGTGCGTGTGTGAGGATTGTGTGTGTATGGGGGTTAATGTGGCGGGTTTGTTATAGGGTTTAGGAGTGTAGGATTCTTTAGGGTTTAGGGTTCGGGGTTTAGGGTTTCAGGCGCTGGCTTTATGCTTGCTTATTGGGGGAATGTACTCACTGGCTTTATGCTTTGCTTATTGGTACTATTTCTGTACTATTACTGTATTACTACTGTACTACTGTACTACTGTGGTACTACTACTGTACTACTCGTGTACTACTGTACTACTATTGTACTACTACTGTACGATTACTGTACTACTATTGTACTACTGTACTGTTATCGTACTACTACTGTACTACTATTGTATTACCCCTGTACTACTGTTGTATTACTATTGTACTACTGCACTATTATTGTACTACTACTGTACTATTATTGTACTACGGTACTATGATCGTACTACTACTGTACTACTACTGTACTACTATTGTGCTACTATTGTACTACTGTACTATTATTGTACTACTAATGTACTACTATTGTACTACCACTGTACTACTGTTGTATTACTATTGTACTACTGCACTATTATTATACTACTACTGTACTACTACTGTACTACTATTCTACTATACCTTGATTATTGGGGGGGGCTGCTAGGGTGAACCGCCGAATCGGGGATTGGACCCTAGCTCAAAAGAGGCCTCTCCAGTACTAAAGTTTGTATAAAAAATTAAGTTTTGGGTCGAATCTGGACCGACCCCCCTTTGGAAGGGTTTAGGGCTGAGGGTTTAATTAGGGTTTGTTATAGGGTCTAGGAGTTTAGGATTGGTTAGGGTTTAGGGTTCAGGGTTTAGGGTTTCAGGCGCTGGCCCAGACCCCCCCCGACCGACCCCTGACCCCTGTCCGGGGCTACCGGTTCCAAATTAAAGAGACCAAAACTTTTTGGTCGGGGGGGGGGGGGGGGGTACCCCAAGCCCTAAACCCTTCCAAAGGGGGGTCGGTCCAGATTCGACCCAAAACTTAATTTTTTATACAAACTTTAGTACTGGAGAGGCCTCTTTTGAGCTAGGGTCCAATCCCCGATTCGGCGGTTCACCCTAGCAGCCCCCCCCCCCCCAATAATCAAGGTATAGTAGAATAGTAGTACAGTAGTAGTACAGTAGTAGTACAGATTTTCATTCCTGACGCCCCAATAAGCGAAACAATTCTGCAAGAGATTTTCGGGCTTCAGGGCCAGGGTTTTAGGGTTGGGTGGGGGTTTGGGTGGGGGTTTAGGTCGTGGCTGCCTTAAGATTGACCATCAGCAAATAGCACAGCCCCGCCACCAAAAAATCACCCCAGCCAAAAAAAAACGCATTAATTAGAACACCCAAATTTTTTGTCAGATTCGGAATTAGCCCCGGAGCCGACGCATTAAAAGAGCCTATATTCCTAAACCGACCCCCACATTACGGGCGTACCGTAATCATTTAGGGTGTGGAAGGACAGCAAGGGTTCAAGGCTGCTGGGCGTTTGCTGCGTTTGCATGTGTCCCCTGAGCTGAGCCTTCTAAGCGCCCCTAAAGCCCGGTCCCCCTGAACCCTAAACCCTAAACCCCTCAAACCCTTCAACCCCCCCCGAAAACAACAAATTAATTAAACCCCTCAAACCACCCCTAATTCCCTAAACCCCTAAAAGCCTCAACCCCCCAAACTCTAACCCCTACACCCTTAAACCCCTAAAAGCCTCAAACCCTTAAACCCCTAAACCCTAAACCCTTAAACCCGAAACCCCTAAAAGCCTCAAACCCCCAAACCCTAAACCCTAAACCCTTAAACCCTCAACCCCTTAAACCCGAAACCCTTAAACCCCTAAACCCTAAACCCCTAAAGCCCTCAAACCCTTAAACCCCTAAACCCTAAACACGAAACCCCCAAAAGCCTCAAAGCCCTACCAATAAAGCTCAATACCCCTTAATTAGGGAATATAGCTGATATCTTAGTATGAAGCCCCCTAATGATTTATAAGATATATCCCTGAATTAAGGGGGTAGTGGGCTCTCTGGGTAAACTCCGAACCCCTAAACCCTAAACCGTAAACCCTAAACCCTAAACCCGAAGCCCCAAGCCTCGGAGATCAGCGCCCGAGGCTCGCGGACGCAACGACGCAGGAGGTCCGGCGGTTCAGGAATGGGAGTTTCCGAAAATTGGGTGCGGGGGATACCGTTAAAGGGATCCTCTAAGGGCTCCTTAAAGGGATCTATAGGGGTTCAAAAAAGGGTTTAGGGTTTCAATAAGGTTTTTTTGGGGGGGGCTTTATAATAAAGATCCTACTATCTAGGATACTATATTAGGGCCCCTATTTTCGGAAAGTCCCGAATAGCACTGGTTGTTAGGTTCAGGGTTTTGGGTGTAGGGGTTTAGGGTTTGGGGTCTATGGTTTAGGGTTTCGGGTTTAGGTTGTAGGGGTTTAGGGTTTAGGGTCTACGGTTCAGGGTTTCGGGTTTAGGGTGTAGGGGTTTAGGGTTTAGGGTCTAAGGTTTATGGTTTCGGGTTTAGGGTGTCGTGTCGTCTAGGCTTAAGGGTTGAGGGTTTCACTATTGCTGGTGTAGGGTGGTCTAGGCTTAGGGGTTGCGGGTGTCACATTGCTGGTTGTGAATATGATGAGGTTTCGGATGAGGAGAAGGGGAGTGGTTCCCATTCTTGCTAGCTGCCGGTACGAACTACCACAAGCAGGGCTAGCCCCTGCTGCTATTCAGGTAGCCAGTGCGAGTCTTCAGCTTGGCGATGTTATGCCCAGCTTTGCTGCCATCAAGACTTGAGGGTTATACCTTAGGAGCTGCCCCCACCCTGTAATAGTGGTATAATAGGAGTATATTAGGGCCCTAATATAATCCTATATAATCCTTATGGTCACTATTACAGGAGGGGGGCAGCTTCTAAGTTATACGGTGCAGACGGTTTAGCCAGGCTTGTGATGTCTGCCGGGATGTTGAGGCTTTCTTTGAGGTTATTTCGCTGACCTTCCCCCCCTCCTGGGATGTCAGTAGCTAATGTAGGAGCCTGATTAAGACACCTTGGGCCTTTGTTAGGGCTCCTTATATGAATCTGATGAAATGAGTTTGCGTCCATCCATGCATGCAACCCTTTGTTGCGGCAGGCACTGAGGTGCCCAAGTTTGCGAGAGAACTTGAGTTAACTCTACACGTCCTCATACGATGTACAACTGATGAGTTGACTAGTAGAGCCGAACTGGAGCACTTTTAGCTCAGCTTGTATAGCAGATTCGAAGTGCCAAACTTTGACAGGTCGATTTGTGCGAAAACAGAAAGACAATTCGCTGCCATGGTCGCCTGAGCTCTGTTCCACTCTATCAAGACTACGAGTTTACTGCATGTATTCTCAGCCCCCGGAACACGAAGCTCCACAGGTTATGAGCGCCTAATCCACGCAAAGTGGTGCAGGGCAAGGCCTCCTGGCACAAGCTGTGCGAACCTACGGTGGAATGGATGCGGGTGGAGCCCGCCCTGTGACACTGGATGGTGGAGCGGCGATGAATCGAGCTATGGCCGAAGGCCAGGTCCTGTTGAATGGTGTGGCGACTGGTGGCCCCTTTGAAGGTAGCCAGTTACCACATCATCCGGAAGGCAGACCTGGTACGACGGGCTCGCGAAATGAAGAAGTGGTTGGTGCAGATGAGCCTTCATCGTCTACGCGGCCTGTGGCTGAGCTGAATGCTGGAACTGCTGCCAGGAGAGCAGTGGGGATAGATGCAGCGACAATCACGGGTGGCGGATCGCAGCTGAACACCGGAACGGGCGCGAACTCGGAAACCGGATCTGGCGCGAACGGACGAAGGTTTCAGGGAGAAGCTTTGGGTTTGAGCAGGCCAGGTCAGCAACGACAGCCCAGCCCTCAGCACTACAGCATCGGAACACCACCCAACCAACCAGCAGCAGCACCACCGCAGCAGTCTGTAACGCAGCAGCAGCCTCAGGCAGATCAACCGACGACCTCTACTACAACTTTGCCTGTAGCTGCAGATGTTCGTGAGCCCAGTGTGCCGATGCATGGAAGCGAAGATGTTCGACAGGACTTCCTGCAGCAACGAGCCCATGCACAACTGGCGGAACAGCGTCATGCTTTGGTGACTGCTTTGCATTCCCGAGCCTCCAGGTTGATCGCCGAGGATGATGCGGAGATCCTGGAGACTACGACCAGGGTTGAGGCCAGCGAGGTGACGGAGCGCACGGGGGACCAGATGTTGTGGCTTACGAGGATCAAGGGTATGGTTCAGAGAGGTTTGGAACCCGTTCTTGGACGTATGAGACCCCTTCCTTCTGCCTCACCTACCTCCTGGTATTCCCAGTCTCCTACCTGGTCGTTGGCAACACCTTCCTTCAACAACCCCGAGCGCATGACTGAATTGCAGCCGAGGACCACGACCTTTACACAGCCTGAACGTGCGGGAGACCAATCCTCGAATGGGTCCCTGCAGCCGGAGGTGGTTCAGGAAGAAGTCAAGAAGGCGGTCCAAGTGGCACTCCAAGGTCGGGACGGGAAGATGAATGAGCTTCAGGCGGAGAATGCGGAACTGAAGCAGCTGTTGATGGCGATGATAGAAGCGGGTTCGGAGAGAGCCGGAGTGGACCAAGGACCTACCGCAGGTGGAAGAGCAGGCGCCTCTACAAGTGTGGGGGTAGAGCCAGCTCGAGCGGCAGGAGACCAGTCGACTGGGCGAGGGGATCTTCGAGCTGAAGGAGTGTATGCAGGCCGTGACCGACGGGCTCCTCCTGGACTACCTGTTCCAATTCGGGGACGGGGAGGTGATCCAGGAAGTGGAATGAGGACTGAGGCGACTACGGCGAGGTCTCCGACCCCAGCGGCGGCACGAACATCAGGTGGCGGCTACGAGAATGTCGCAGGAAAGCTTGATGGAGTGCCCAGCGCGGGCCAAGGAGGCAGTCGTGGTGGCGGGAATGATGAGCGAGGTTCCGTGGCGCCGATGGACCTTTTGGCCCAAGGGATCCAACAGCTACAGCAACTGCACTTGAAGAAAGAAGGGCATGACCCCGAGTTGCTGAAGGGTTCCTTGGATTTACCGAAGCTACCCGAGCCCTACCAGGACAACAGTGCGGTGGCGTTCCTGGAGTGGGTGTACGAGGTGGGCCAGCTCATCGGCTCGATCACGGACAAGGCGGCGGTGTGGTGGGCGGCCAATCTCGAGCTAGCCATGACAGCCTACCACAAGTTCCAGGCGGAAACACCTTTGAAGAGGTTGACGGTCCAAGTTGGTGAAGATCCGGACGTGGATGGAGAAAAGTGGTCTCGGCTTGAGAAGCGGGTGATGGCGCTTCTCCTGGCTTCGATGACGTCGACTATCAAGGCCGAGATCACAATGCTGAGGATCAACCGTGTCAAGGACTGCCTCTTCAAGCTCTACACAACGTTTTCTCCAGGGGGCGCGAGCGAGAGGGCGAGCCTGATCAAACAGCTCGAGTACATCCAGCCCCAGACCAATGTGGTCGACATGATCTCTGCCCTGAGACGATGGAAGAAGCATGTGGGCCGAGCTTCCGAGATGGGAGTTTCCCTGCCCGACGGCTCCGTGCTGTTGGTTGCTTTGGAGGGAGCTACGAGACACATCACTGAGAACAACAAGGACGTAGCCTTCAAGCTGAACATGGCCAAGCAGGAGCTCCGACTTCCATACCAGCCGACCTTGAGTGCTGTGATGACGTTTGCAGACCATGTGGTTGCGGAGCTCCAGCAAGTGATCCCTATCAACTCCAAGGACTCCCAAGCCAAGCTCAAGGGTGCCAATGTGGATCCTGGATCTCCGGCGTCTTCCTCGACCTCGCCTTCTGGGAAGGGACAAGGGCAGAAGCAGCCTTGTAAGTTTTGGTTGACACCGGACGGTTGCAGAAGGGGATCTGCTTGCAAGTACGGCCATGTGTTTGCGACTAAGGAGGAGAAGAAGGCACGCTGCTGGACATGTGGGGCGACAACCCACCGACAGGCCGACTGCCCTACAAAGTCTGGCTCCGCTACCAAGGGGAAGGGTGGTCCTAAGGGATCAACGGAGAAGAGGTCGCAAGGGGAACCGACTACACCCACTGTGGCCCAGGCGAACGTGATGAACAACCCTGAACCCTCTACGGCTACCATGAACACCGCCTCCACGTTGGATCATCCGCTTACCACAGGTACTACAACCTCTTCCAGCGAACCTTCATCGGCGGCCTCTACTATCCTCTTCGCGGATGCGCAGCAGGCTCAGAATGCGGGTGAAATCAGAGAGCTGGCAGAGCAGTTCCTGGCTAAGATCAAGCGCTTGGCACCGATGCAGGCGAAGACGGATGATGCAGTGATGGACTTGGAGCTGCTACTGAGGTCGCAGGGCCTGAATGAAAGCCACGGAATGGCGCTACTGGATAGCGGCGCTTCACATGCCTACCGGGCTCCCCGTTCCAGGGAGGAGGCATCAACGGCTCGCCGGGTCAGGGTGCAGCTGGCCGATGGGAAGACAGTCTACCTCCGCCAGAACAAAGGAGGCACTCTCCTCTCGGAAGAGGAACAGGGAGGAGGAATTATCCTGCCACTCGGGAGCCTTGTCAGCTCTCTTGGCTGCGAGCTCAAGTGGAGCAGAAAAAAGGGGCTCCAGGTGCGACACCCGGTCCACGGGATCTTGCCCACGAAGCTCGTGGGGGATACGCCGGTGCTGCGTGAAGCTGAAGCACTTCAACTTATCGCGGATTTGGAACAAGTGGAACTGGGAAGGCTTGAGAAGCAAACGGAAGAGGGAGTGCTGAAGATGATCGCGTCGGAAGAGGAGACGGTCACCACGTGGATGGATCATGCTGAAGCATTTGTAGAGACCGGTGAACGGGCAAACTTGAGGCGGATGTTGTTGGACCCCGAAGCTCCTCTACAAGCTCCCTTGGAAGAAGACATTGCAGCTCTTCTGGGCGTGGACGACAAGCTTTTCCTCTCTGATGAGGCAGGTGCTCCTGAGGAAGGTGGATCGTTCACTTGTACAATGGAGATGAGCAGGGCGCCGAGTTTTCCCACGCAGAGTCTGATGATGTCACTGTGGTTCGAATGGACATCCGGAACAACAAGGCCTTTGACCTCCGCACCTACACGCCGGCCGTGCGAGCTCTGATGTGGGCAGCGGCAAGGGGACAGATCGAAGGGATACTTGGAGGCTTGGAGGCCCACCTCGAGGATCGGAATCTGGCTCCATGCTGTATAGGCGGATGCTGCTCCTTTGGCTGGTTGCACACACCGGAGCAACGGCTGCAGGCTTATGTTCGCCTTTCTTCATGATGGAGGCCCCAACCTGGCATCCTATCTGGACGAGCTTCACCTGGTCGCGCTTCAAGGATGAGTTTCGGTACCTGAAGTACCATGCGGTTGCGGCCAGGGATGGTGTGTACTTTATGGCGGGCACGCTCCAGCTGTCTGATGGAGTGTCGGTGAGCGAAGGGGAGATCCCGGACCTGAACTACAAGACCCCTGCATCAGCGTGGTCCGTTGAGCTCAAGACAGGGTTGGCGCATTCAATGGTGCAATGGAGGCAACACGACCGGCGCAGGGAAGAAGTGACGATGTGCAAGCTCGGTGGCCCCAGGGAGATGAACGCGAAGGATTTGGCCTACTGGGAGAAACATGTACGAAGCGGGCACGTTCCTTATGATCGCAGATGCCAAACCTGTGTTCGGGCAGCAGCGACAGGACGGGCACATCGACGGTGCCTGGCCCCTTCGGCCTACACCTTAGGCCTGGACATCGCCGGCCCTTTCCGCACAAAGGGCGAGAACGCTGATGAGAAGGGCTTGCGCTACCTACTTGTGGGGGCGTACTCACACCCGCGAATCAACCCCGACAAGGAAAAGGACCTTCCTGAGGAGGAGGACGGTGAGTTTGAAGCCGAAATCGATCCGTTCGAGATTGACGAAAGGGCAGTGGTACCAGTTGAGGAGGAGGACGATGATGAGCAGAAGACCATGAATGAGCGGTTCAAGGCCCTGTACAAGGACATCGGTGATGAGATTGACTACCAGACCCTCCACTTTGTGGTGCCGATGAAAACTCGGACGGCCAAGGAAGTTAGGTCGCGGATTCAGCAAATCTACCTTCAGCTTCGGCAGCAAGGGCTTCCTCTGGTGCGGATCCACAGCGACCGGGGCAGGGAGCTCATGGCCAAGGAGACCAGGGCATGGATGGCTGACCGGGACATCCTGGCTACGACTGGAGAGAGTCAGCAGCCTCAACAAAACGGTCGGGCGGAGGCACTGGTCCGGGTCATCAAGGGCAGGGTCAAAACGCTCCTCCGAGCAGCTTCCCTGCCTATGTCATGCTGGCCACTCGCTGCACAGTTCTCTGCCAGGAGACAGCGAGACTTGGCACTCGGAGACCGAACCGATGAAGCAGTGCCATTTGGGGCACCAGTGCACGTGAAACACAAGAGGTTCGGAGAGGGTGGAAGTTATGATCTTGCTGAACGCTGGCGGTCAGGCAAGTTCGTTGGGTATTCTTCGGACGTCCGTGGAGGCAGAGTGGTCCGTCATGATGATGGAGGCTACACGACGTCGGTGCATATCAAGCCGTATCTTGTGGACTCCGACGACTTGGTCGAGCACGGGCCCTTTGAAATGGAGGTTGAAGATCCGGTGAGGAGGATTCGAGGGAAGTCCCGACTGGCCCAGCTGGACACCGACCCGAAGGAGGAAGTAGATCGCAAGGCGAAGGAGCTTATGGATTCCGAGCACTATGACTTGGAGAGCGTGGTGGCGATGTGGGAGCTCTTGAAACCCTATGCGAGATCTACTACAAGAACGACCCAGGGTGAAGGGCTCCAATGGTTGATTGGCCAGTATACGCATGGAGGTCAATGCGGTGCTACCTTGGACACTGATCGGTTCCCTTGGGCTACCTTATACCTGGTGAAGGCGTTCTCCCACCTCACTGGAGAAAGTGATTTCTCATCGATCTTGATGACTGAGGACGTTGGGATGAAGATACACCGGGATGTCCACAACCATGCCGACCGCAACAACGTGCTACTTCCTCTACTACCTTGCGAGCGTGGAGGTGGAGTTTGGGTTGAGTCCGAACCAGAGGACTACGATGTGGACGACGAGTGGCGGCAACTACCAAAGGGAGATTGGCGTCGTGGAAAGGTGATGGACCTACATCCTGGAGTTCCCATCAAGATCAACCCCCGGAGGTTCCACCAGACCGAGGACTGGGAAGGAAAACGGTTGGTTATGACCTCATTCACGCCAAGATCTACCAGATTGAAACCTCCCGCCTACATGAAACTCCTGGACTACGGTTTCAACCCACCTCCTCTACCACCACAAGTCCCAGAGCAACTGCAGCGGAACATCCTCAAGATGATGAACCTGTCTGGACCAAAGGACGGCCCCGACGCAGTCATGTTCCAGATGAAGGACCCTGGGGAAGAGCGACAGGAGAGGGCCCATGAAATCAGTCAGGAGTTGCAGCAGCTACAGGACGATGTACTTGGGAGACTCCAGGAACGACGTGAATGGCTTCAACAGTTTCTAGCTGAGGAGGAGATCCTGGCTGAGGAGTTCAACACTGTTGGCGAAACCATTCGGGATGAGATCAAGGAGATCAATGTGGTGTTCCGGGAGCTTATCCAGGATGTTGAGGACCAAGTTCGGTCAGTGGAGAAAAGGTGCAATGACCTGTACCTCAAGGTGGCCAACGTCACGGATGATAAGGAAATCGGCGACATCGAGGAGTACTTGATCAACCTCAAGAAGGATTTGGATGTCACCCTGGATGTTCCTTTGGACCAGGTGAAGGCCAATCTCGAGGAATGGATCGAGCCCATGAACAAGGAGCTCGCGAATCTGGAGGCCAAGACGAATGCGATCGAATCCCGACCCATGGCAGATGCGAAGAAGCTTGTGAATGACGGGTCGCTCATACTTATCCCCGGCAAAGTCGTGTTTACGGTCAAGCCTCCAGCTCCTGAGACCAAGGCCGAGAAGAAGTCAAAGGGGGCGCGCTGGAAACGCAAAGCCAGGATCGTGATATGTGGCAACTTGGCCACTCAGTCCTTGAATGGACAAGAGCTGTATGCAGCTGGCGCCTCCGTTGAGGCGCTCCGCCTGGCCTTGGCACTTGCGTCCAGCCTTGGATGGCATGCAGCCGCCACTGATGTCTCAGCGGCTTTCCTCCAGGCCGAGTGGCCATCGGATAGGCCGACGTATGGAGTGATACCCCCCCGGATACTAGTGCAGGCGAAGCTCGTTCCGGACAACGTTGTGTTTGTGGTAAGGAAGGCGCTCTACGGTTTGCGTGAAAGCCCGGCGCTATGGGCTAACCACAGAACGAGGATTCTGAAGGAGGTGAGCGTCGAGGCCCCTGGTGGAAGAATTTGGCTGAAACCGCTGATCACGGACGGGGAGCTTTGGATGATCCTACAACTACCACCTAATGCTGAACGACCTCAACTCCGAGGACTCCTGGTGACCTACGTGGATGATTTATTGTACTTGGCGGCCAGGGCATTGATCATCCTTCTCCACGCCAAGATTGCGGAGATTTGGCCGTGCTCAGCACTGGAGTTCTCAGACCAGGGTATTCGCTACCTTGGGATGGAGTTGTTCCAGGATGAGAACACTTTCACGCTTGGCCAGGAGGCATATGTTGCCAATTTGGTCCGACTTCATGGACTGGACCCAGAGGAGAGGGCAGGCTTGCCGTGCCCCAAGGAGTGGATCCAGGACACCGACATGGATGGTGAGGCCGAGAACTTCAGCGCGGAGGAGCTCACCCGGGCTCAGAAGATCACAGGTGAATGCCTATGGCTTGCCTACCGTACTCGGCCGGATATTCTCTACGTCACGAACTATATGGCCGGAATGACAGCGAAGAAGCCTGTGAAGGTCTACAACGTGGGCTTGAAGGTTGTGGCCTACTTGAACGCGACTGCAGGTCTCAAGTTGAAGGTTGAAGCCGAGGCAGAGCCAAAGCAGTCCACAGAGCCGAAGCAGTCCACAGAGCCAAAGCAGTCCACAGAGCCGAAGCAGTCCACAGAGCCAAAGCAGTCCACAGAGCCGAAGCAGTCCACAGAGCCGAAGCAGTCCACAGAGCAGTCACATGATGCAGGCTTCAGGGTTAGGTTGTCTGGTTACTGTGACGCCTCGTTTGCGCCGTTCGGCGGTAAGAGCTTTGGTTGCAGTCTGGTCATGGTTGGGCGAACGCCCATTTCCTGGAAGGCAGGTAAGCAGACGATGGTGGCTATGTCGGTTTGTGAAGCTGAGCTCATGGAGGGTTCTACGTGTGCGTTGCTGCTTGAGTCTACCCAGGCCATGCTGCAGGAGATTGTTCCAAATCTGGCAGTCCCCAAGCTGTACATAGACAACATGGCGGCTCACAACATCATGAACGGTGCCACCGGAAGCTGGAGAACCAGACATTTGAGGATTCGCCACTCCTATGTTCTGGATCGTATTGCTGGTGGGCAACTGCAAGTGAACCACTTGGCTGGAGAAGATCAACCCGCAGATTTGCCTACCAAGTTACACAGCAAGGTTCGCTTGTTGCATCTACTTGGAACATGGAATATGGTGGGCATTAGCGATCTGGACGGTAAGAAGGCGGTTCAGTGCTTGAAGTTGGGCTGCCTGTTTCTTCTTTTGCTGGCGGTGCAGTCACTGGCGGTGGCGGCTGAGAAGGAACCTTTGCAGGTCACTGGGACAATGGAGCTGATCACAATGCTTATGCTGTCCTGTGTTGCTGCTATCGCGATGTGGGAGGCAGCAAGGGCATGCTACAAGTGGACGGTTCCAGCGTGCTGTGGATCGAAGAGGGCGAGGAGAATCCAAAGGTTACGTGAATTGGCGAAAGCGGCAGCGGAGGCTGAGATAGAGAAGTGGGCGGAGCAGGAGGACATCGTGAACTCGGAGCAGATTGCGAGGACGCTACGGGGAGTTCTACGCGAGGAGCGGGAAGATGTAAGACCCTCCACTACAGCGAGTGCTATGACTCCAAGAACACCAGAGCCCTTGGGAACTCCGTCCCGAACCAGTGTGTTTGGGGGTACTCGACCATCAACACCCCCGATCCCACGGAGGAGAACACCTTCACCAACGCCGAGCCCCTTTCGTGGAGATCCCGGCCAATTTGAACGTGAACGTGTAATCAAGGACGTTCTTGAGCTGCTCACGGTGAGGAGCTTGAAGATTGGTTTGGAGGCGGAGGGAAGGGCCGTCACCGGCCTGAAGGAGGACCTGGTGAGAAGACTGGGAATTTTCCTGGGTGATGAACCGCCACCGGATGGGCGACCTACCACCAGGCAGCTCCGCTACGTCCTCTATGTCTGGCGACATCAACGGCTCGCTGGAAGAACGGAGCTAACGTGGGACATCCTGGCTTCGAAGACCAAGGTTTCCCAATGGCTTCATCAATGGAAGGACGCTTGAGTTGTGACCTTCGCCGCAGGCGGAGGTCAAGGAGGAGTGATGAAATGAGTTTGCGTCCATCCATGCATGCAACCCTTTGTTGCGGCAGGCACTGAGGTGCCCAAGTTTGCGAGAGAACTTGAGTTAACTCTACACGTCCTCATACGATGTACAACTGATGAGTTGACTAGTAGAGCCGAACTGGAGCACTTTTAGCTCAGCTTGTATAGCAGATTCGAAGTGCCAAACTTTGACAGGTCGATTTGTGCGAAAACAGAAAGACAATTCGCTGCCATGGTCGCCTGAGCTCTGTTCCACTCTATCAAGACTACGAGTTTACTGCATGTATTCTCAGCCCCCGGAACACGAAGCTCCACAGAATCCTACCGTCTTGGGGTTAGGTCCTGGGTTTCTTAACCAGGTTCCTACATTATTTCTTGTACCCTTATAGATCCCTTTAAAGGAACCCCTTTGTGGGCTGGGAGATGCAGTACCTAGCAGAGCCGCCGATTTCCATTCAGCGTCTAGGAGGAGAGCATGGCCTGCAGCAAATTCAGGGTTTAAGGCTGGGAGCCAAATTCGCGGGTTTAGGGTTTAGGGGGCTATAAGGCTTAGGGTTAAGGGGGTAGGGTTTAGGGGTTTAGGTTTAGGGTTTAGGGTTAAGTGGAACCGAGAAAGCATATGACAGACCTCCAAACGACTCGACGCCAAGCCGCAGTCATGCCAGAATTAAACCTTGGCCAATCCCGACAGTAGTTCTTTTCTGCCCCGTGTGGTCAACTCTTCAAACCATAATTCCAAATCTTACACCTCAACCTCATGCCCCACCTCAAACCTAACCTAGACTCCCATTAGCCCCAACCCCTTGAGTTTCGGGGATCCTGCCCCCGTTTCATGTTAAAGCTATGCCAGGAGAAGCCGAGTCGCCTGCAGCAGCACCGAGCTCAGTGCAGTTTGCGGTTCAAGGGAATGGGCCCAAACGCCGAATTCCGAAGCCCCAATGTTCAAAGCCGAGACCCTAAACACGAGGGTTCGGGGTTTGGGCTTTAGGGTCTTTGGCCCTAAACCCTGAACATTAAGCCCTAAACCCAGGTTTCGAGGTTACAAGGATCTTCGAAGAATCCCGAAAGCCCTAAGGCCCCCCCCCTTAACCCTAAATCCTAAACCCTCTTCCCTTCACCCCGAAACGCCCGGCTCACCCCCCAGGCTTCAGCTCAACCTCGTGGAGATCAAGGCCCAGCTCAGCACCGTCAAGCGCAGCAATGCCACGGCCGCGGCACCCAGCAAGGACAATGAGTCTCGGAAACCTATAAACCATTGAATTACGGAGCAAACATGTAGAGCAGTGCCTCCGCGACAACTGCTGTTGCTAAAGAAATACTACTACTACTACTACTACGACGACTACTACTACTACTACTACTACAACTACTACTACTACTACTACTACTACTACTACTACTACTGCTATTACTACGGTGGATGGAGGAAATCTTGCACCACCTACATTTGCTGTTTCGGGTACACATCCAAGCAACAATCCCGCAACCCCCCTTTTTATGTTGACGGCAGATCTCTTGGGGCGGTGGAAGATTTATGCCATTGGGACGATTTTGTAAAAGCCCGTGTTCATAGCAATGTTAAGAAGGGGGCGCGGGGTGAAGCTACATAATATATCTTAACAGCAACATTGACGACAGATCTCTTGGGGCGGAGCAAGATTTTATGTTATTGGAACGATTTTGTAAAGCCCTGTGTTCATAGCAATGTTTAGAAGGGGTGAAGCTACATTATCTTAAAAGCCGTGCAACATTTCCTCCGTCCACAGCAGTACCACTGCTACTAGTACCACTGCTGCTACTACTACTACTACTACTACTACTATTCCTACTGCTACTACTACTACGACGACGACTACTACTACTACTACTACTACCACTACTACACCTGCTGCTGCTGCTGCTACTACTACTACTACCACTACTACTACTACTACTACTACTACTACTACTACTACTACTCCTACTACTACTACTACTACTAGTACCAATTGCTACTATTACGGCTAGTACTACTAGTTCTAGCTACTTACTGCCACATTCGTGCAAGTATGTATGTATGTATATATATATATATATGTGTGTGTATGTATGTTTGTATGTATGTATGTATGTGGATATGTAACTGCATGTGTGTAGACATATACATATATATGTGTGTGTGTATGCCTATATGTATTCATTCATTTGTATGTCAATGTTCACAAAGTTGTATGTGTATGTACGTAACTCAGTCGTGTTAATATGCAATGTGTGTACATATGTACACGGACATAGTTGTGAACAATTGCGCACATGTAGGTATATTTCTGTGCGGATATATACATATATACATATATATATACATACACATATACATATATATATATATACATATACATACATATATATATATATATATATATATATACATATACACACATATATATATATATACATATATATATATATGTATATATGTATATAAGTATATGTATATACATATACATGTACATATACACATATATATGTATATATATATATATATATATATATATGTATATGCACATATACATACATATGTGTGCGTATAGGTGTGTGCACACGCATAGAAGCAGGCACATCTCCATTTGCAGAGACAGATAGATGCACCATGCAGACAGACATCCTGGCCTGCATGCATGCATGCTTACATACACATGTACACGGATATGATCGGACATGTGTATCTATGTGTGCAAGTGTGTGTAGACTGAGTAAATACATGCAACAAATGAACAAGTCTTCACACACATATATATATATATATTTATATATACATACACATATAAATCACCTGTATCAACCTCACCCATATCAGCATACGTCAACATATCCCTGTTCCGGACATCGCTTCAGCTAGTGCTTCACACCAGAAACCAGCATGTGGCATGCCCCAGAGGCGGTCGCACCAGCAGCTGCCCAAACAGCAGGAGGCGCTGACTTCAGACGGTTTAGGGGCTAGGGTTTAGGGTTTTGGGGTTTAGGGTTTTGGGGTTTAGGGTTCAGGGTTTAGAGTTTAGGGTTCACGGTTCAGGGTATAGGCTTAAGGCTTATGAGGGTGGATTGAGGCAGTACGGCTTCGGCGTAGTCGACACTAGGGCCGCTAGGGCTTGATGAGGGTTGCATTCATCTACAAATATACGGTGTGCATGTACCTATGTACATCTGTACATACACGTGTTCATATGTGTATGTATGTGTATGTACATGTATATGTGTGTGCACATGCTCAGATACGCACGGGAGATTGTTTCGTCTAGGCCCCTGCTATGATGCAAAGCAAGTGCAGGAATGCTGATGAGAATTCAGGGCGGGTAGCTTTCAGTCATTCCCAAAGTTAAGGGCCCAGGGTCCTAGATACTGTTATGGGGGATACTTCCCCAAATCATATTAGTAATTAGTAGTATCGAAACTCTACAATCGACAGAATAGGTACTTAGGATTCTTTGGAAGTTCAGTTTGTGCAAACTCCTTAACTAACACTCGCATGAAGTAAGTTGGACCCTTAACGCCGATTATTCAGGATTTACGGCCTCGCGAAGGTACAACTTCCCAGCCCCACAACCCAGACCTTCAACATCCCCAGCCCTTGGTCCCTTTGTATAGTGGCCTTGGTAAGTAGAATAGGGTTTTGGCGTACATTATTATTGAGTGTATAATATATGTCTACATACATACATAAACACATACACACATTAGGACCGCCTAGGACCATCATGGAACCTATAGCGAAGTCTTCCGACCCCAACGTTGCCTTGACACCCCAGGAGCAGCACTCAAAATGGCTCTTCGTGTGCAGCGACCAAAGACCGGGGCTTACGTGGGAGATTCTCCAATTCCCAAAGGGTCCAAGTATCATTATACTTATGGGGTATTTTGGGGGTCTAAGTGTATACCATAATACCTGGACCCTTTGGGGTTGGACAGTGCTTGCAAATCGATCCCCTATGGAGTCCTATGGAGTCAGTAAATCATGGCAGAGAAAATTGGGGAGCTTGTGTGTGCCTTCCCTTGGTTCATGCACTCGCGGTATGTCATGCCGCGCTGCACAAGCAAAGGTACAGCATGCTCTATAAAGTGGAGGGCCATCCAGCAGCCTTTGCTTTGTACTGGAGATGGTTTCAGTCGCTTTTCGCAGTTGGGCATAGTAGGGCTTCCACCAAGTGAAGCCGTAGCAATGCCTGGCTGCGGCTATGGGGTTCATGAGCAGACACTCGTGCGTGTGTGGGCCAAGAGAAAGAACTGAGGTGGGCTGCCGCAAATGCTCGGTTCTCGGGATTTTCGGAGGCTGTCAGCTTCACTCACGAGGCGAAAACCAGTGTAGGAAAATCCCTGCATGTCCCCAGCCTGAATTACTGTCGGCTCCATTATAAAGGCTTCATAAACAAAATACCGGATGGAAAGAAGATAGACAGCCCACATCTCGTCATAACATTCAGTACTCAAGACCCTGAAACCCTCACGAAATCCTAAACCATCGAAGAATCAATGTAAGGGTCCTTTGGGATCTTTATTAATTTCCCCTACTATTTTGTAGAGAACCATAATAGTAAATAATTTTCAAAGGGCTTACAGGACATCTCAGTTAAGGGTTCCTCTAAGGGGTCGAAGATAAAAGGGGTTACTCATACTACCGTGGTCCTTAGCAGTATAGACTTCATGCAGGCCATGGGGCTATGGGTTTAGGCGTTGGGTTATAGGACGCTTTTCAAATCCAGGCGTTCGGTGTTTTTGGTCATATAGCAGCCGGCAAAACGATGTAGAACCACGTAGAACCGTCTAAGCCGTCGTTCTGAGGCTCCGGCGACAGTGCTCCAAGCGACGCTGCCGGAGATGCTGGCCGGGTCTGCAAATCCAAGGTCTCAGGTGGGTTTTTGTTATTA